GTTCGAAAATACCATACTGTCTGTTCTGTCCATTATGTCATTACTCTCTAGGTCTTCTACTCATTTGACTATTTTTTCTAGTGTTTGAACTACCACGCTTGTTAATGATACGGGTCTATACTTTAGTTTCCTCTCTACTACCACTTTTATAGATTGGTACCAAGTTTGCCTTTTTTCCATATCTGCTAAGATTCCTGTGCAAAAGAATGTCTGGAATATTAATTGGAATGGAATGCTCAGCTCAGTTGCACATTCTCGCACCCAAGCTGAAACTTCATCGGGATCACCCGCTTTATTTCCTCCTAGCCCCATGAGCAATTTTTCCCACTTCGTCTCGAGATACATCTATGTATTCTATGGAGTGCTCTGGAATTGGTCCGGCTCTGAAATTTTGTACAAACACATTTTGGAACTATTCATTTAGCATTTCACACAACTGGAGGGTGGGAGGGAGGGAGGGGGAGGGAGGGAGCGAGGGAGGGAGGGAGCGAGGGAGGGAGGGAGGGAGGGAGGGAGGGAGGGAGGGAGGGAGCGAGGGAGGGAGGGGGGGAGGGAGGGAGCGAGGGAGCGAGGGAGCGAGGGAGCGAGGGAGCGAGGGAGGGAGGGGGGAGGGAGGGAGGGGGGGAGAGAGAGAGAGATAGAGAGAGAGAGAGAGAGATAGAGATAGAGATAGAGATAGAGATAGAGATAGAGAGAGATATATAGATATATATATATATGGCTTTACAGTGAATATTTTATTATTGAGCAGAGCTAATTATTCCTCTCTCCATCATTAACTGTATCTATGGAAGCGAATGAAATGTGCTTTTGAGATATGAAAGCATGTTTGAATATCCATCTTTTATACCATATCTACAAGGTCATCGAGTAGGTATGTACGTACAAGGAAGTGGCATATAGAATCCCTCCTGTAACATTAACAAATTTCTGGTGTACCAAGTCCTAATCATGAAATACATTAAATATCTCATTAATGGCTGCACTCAAAGTAGTAAACCGTATATTAAAAAAGGCCTCTCACTTTCGTGATCGACACAGTACACACACAGCATCTCATTTTTAAGCTTTCTGAGAACACTTTCTAAAATATTTGCCCTTTCTAAAATATAGCTTGTGTATTACTGTGTTGTCTAATACAATTACATAGAAGCTAACTATTTACAAATTTTCATAGGCATGAGACTAATAGTATACATCCAGAACACACCTCTCTCCGGGTAACAGGCACTTGTTCTATAATGATTCATGAGACAGTAACTCACGACTACCACAAATTTGAATATCTACTCATTTACTCAAATTTACATATTTTAGCTGCTTGTCCTATTTGCTCATTTTAGCCAACATTGTTATATCTTGAATTAAACAGCACAAGTATAATTGTGCAATTTCTATTACACTTTAATGATACATTTCAAGATTCGTGTAATTTTAGAATGCATTGGTATGATAACTATATATCATTCATACAGTATATGTCCAAACCACACATCAGAAAATAAAAATGTTATAAAGTTTTAGTCCATCCAGGACAGACCGAAACATCATTTCTTCACTTTCTGATGTGTGGCTTGGACATGATATCTTCAGCCATGTTACTGTGACTCATCATGATAAATTGTCTTAAAAATAAAATACTTGACCTCAGTAATTACTATTTACTCCGATTCCAAAATTAATAACATCCTGTGCAATATACAAGAGATATCATAATACCAAATGGTATAACACACAACACTTTTCAAAATGGTTAAGGTTATAATGGCTATTACAAACTGTTTGGACATTAGACACACAGGCACATTACATTAGTCCATAAAATAATGTGTGCATTTGTGCAAGTAATTTCCAACAGGTTAAGAAAAAAAATCATAAAAACTAGAGTAAAGGAAACTAGTTAATTATACATTTTAAATCAAGTTAAATACTGTACTTATTAAGTATTAAGTACAGCGGTAATAATTTCTCCATTATGCAGTTTTGGCATATATACAACATTTAACATTCCATCACATATTCAAACACAAATTAAAATACCGTTATTAAAACTGCTTCTGAAAGTATGAAAATGTTACTATTGTATGTGAAATTATGAGACTAGAAATGATGTATTATCCAGAATTGTTATGACTACAATTTGTGTCTTTTGTATCATGTATAAATTCAATGATAATTTATTACAATACTCAAATGATCATTCAAAGGTATTTGGAACACAAATGATGAACTAATTATTTCCAATATCTTCAAATTCTTATTGGTCGTTTTCAAACCAACCACTGTACATATACAAATGACGTAACATAATAAAATATCATAACTACAGTATACCAAGATGATATTTAAGACAATTATCCTCAAAGTTACAATAGTATTTAAGTTCTAGGCTGCTTACAAGAGCTTCCTAAACTTTTAAATGAATAAAGTGATACATATGCTGGATTCACTTATTATTTTTTTATGACTATAGTCTTGCCTTAACCCTTTTACAGTGGCACCATGGTTTCATTATACCTTGGATATAAAAACTTAATGTTTTAATATTTTGCATTTATTTAATACATATCTTGTAAGAAAATGTCTTGCTTTCAACCTGTGCAAAAAAACAAAGTTTTGAGTGTAATGAAACACCTCTTTCTGGTGGATCCTCAGTGGCTCTCTATTGTTAGCCACCTGGTTAGCTCGCCAAATCAAATCCTTGCGAGTCATTAACAGCCGACTAGAGGCCAAAACCTGGCCTCCTCACAAAGGTGCAGAGAGCAGGGGTTCCTTTATCACTCTCACCGAGAAATCAGCCACCAGAAAGGTACAGTAAAACAAAATGGTCAACAGCAAGGCAAATCAAAGGAACCCAGAAAATGAGACCACAGTAGTTAGGTTGTTGCTACTAGAGGGTGAATGACCTATCACCAGGTGGCAACACCAGTAGCTCCCAGATTGGCCAGTGCAGCACCTCAGTCATCCAACCAGGTTCAATAAATTGATGCTGCTCACCACCTGAAAGGGACCCTCCTTTTCCCTTTTCACCTGAAAAGGGAAAGGAAGGGTCCAGGGAGACATTAAGGACCCACTAGAAAGAGACGTTTCATTACATTTAATGCTTGCTTTTGGGGTTCCACAGTGGGTCCCCATTACTATTTCACCATGGAGAAGAAAAAAGGGAACTCCGTGCCTTTGTGATGGAGATCAGGTTTGGGCTTCTGATCCCCAGTAGACTATTAAAGACTTGTAAGAGCCTGGTATGACTGGATGCGTGAGGAGCTAAGCAGATGACGAGCAACAGTGAGCCACTGAGGAGCCTTCGCAGAAAGAAAAAATAGTTCAATTTAATTTTGTTTCATATAAAAAATTAAAAACACATTGGTGATAACCCAGCGTTGAATGAACATTTCACTACAATATAAAAATTAAACAAATCCACTTTTCTTTACAGAAAATAAAACAATTTCTTTTCTGTTCCCACAGTTATCTCACAAGACATGAGCTAGCTGATATATTGTACTGTAGAGTATATACAAAACTAAGCAAAACTTTATATTCATCAAGTTAAATGTTGCAGTAACCTGCACTACACACATATACATATATATACAGTATATATATATTACAATTCATACTCATTCATCGAGCTCCCGTGAGAAGATTATTTCTAAATTTAAGCCTTTTATTATAAATTCTTAGATTTAATGTCCTCTGACAAACTGGATTTAGTTTTTCTGAACATTTTATTAGTTGCTAAAAAAACAAAAATTTAAGTATACTGTGACGATAATCTCTTTCAAGAGAGATTGAGCCTGCTCTTCCCTACACATTTACGTCGTTCAAGTACAAGATACTATATTGAAGATACGTCCACCAGTATCGCCAAACGTTTTGCCCAGGAAGCAAATCGTACCATGCACACCCTGACACACCAGCTACAGCCCGCCGTAACCAGCAAACTGCTCATTCTCCGCCTGCCTGTTGCTGATTGGCTGGTGTCTCGCCGCACCTGCACTCACGCCACCACCAAGAGTCGACGTCTGGGCAGCAGCACGCCGTACTCCTCAGAATATCTCTGTGCTCCTTGGAGTTGACATCTCTCGCTAGTAGACTAAGCCTTGGCTTTCGTGTACTAAGGGAGGTGGCAGCTTGAAGCCAGTATTCCAGCACCTCACTTATTTGATTTATTTTAACTTGCATTCTTGTCTTAGAGTAACTTTTCATTACCAGTAATTATTCATGTTGTTTTGTTTGTTGACCTGTTCTGAATTTTATGAGATTGTCTTTATTCATGTCTTGTTTTCTAGAGTAATTAAAATTTCATTGTTTATATACTTTGTGTTTTGTGTGTCTTCCCATTACCTTACCACAGACGAAAGGACAAACTTCTCTTTTTTTTTTGTTATGTGACGAGGCCCTGCCCCCAGCTTTTGAAACAGCCGAACACCAACGCTTTACCGTCACATTACATACAAAATAACAAATGTTAAAAAAATACTGACTACTTTGGCCTTTGATTCCAGCAATAATGTATCTGGGTATCGAAATAAAACTGATATATTTAGTGTTGATCACTATCAGGTTACATCATCCCAGACATGGATACATAAAGTGGCAAGAGATCACTAAAAGAAGAGTAAGCAGTTACATGATTGCCTTGACATATACTTAGCTAAATTTATTTGGCATCCATGCTCTAAACTGGGTCACCTCTTTTAGGAACACAGCACACCATCTTTTACACCAAGGTGAATGTTGCAGCACACCATCTTTTACACCAAGGTGAATGTTGCAGCACACCATCTTTTACACCAAGGTGAATGTTGCAGCACACCATCTTTTACACCAAGGTGAATGTTGCAGCACACCACCTTTTACACCAAGGTGAATGTTGCAGCACACCATCTTTTACACCAAGGTGAATGTTGCAGCACACCATCTTTTACACCAAGGTGAATGTTGCAGCACACCACCTATTACACCAAGGTGAATGTTGCAGCACACCACCTTTTACACCAAGGTGAATGTTGCAGCACACCATCTTTTACACCAAGGTGAATGTTGCAGCACACCATCTTTTACACCAAGGTGAATGTTGCAGCACACCACCTTTTACACCAAGGTGAATGTTGCAGCACACCACCTTTTACACCAAGGTGAATGTTGCAGCACACCATCTTTTACACCAAGGTGAATGTTGCAGCACACCATCTTTTACACCAAGGTGAATGTTGCAGCACACCATCTTTTACACCAAGGTGAATGTTGCAGCACACCATCTTTTACACCAAGGTGAATGCAGCATGGCATTTTTACACACCAAAGCAACTACATTATATGATGCAATTGTTATGGTGTTGATACAAGTTTTTCCTACCAGGTAGATTTACTATTATATATAATGCTACACAAGTACAGCTCTCATGCCAATGGGCTGCCACAATCTTCTTTAACTATAATAACCACTTATTAATCATTTTACCTAAATGAAAATTCTACAAATGTATCAAAATTGTTTCATTATAGAATATCTTACTACAATATATATATATACACAATTCTTCAAGACTTTAAATATATGCAAATCTCCAAGAAAGTTGTATCACAGAGAATGGGACACTTTGCAAATTCAAAAGCTGTTTAAAATAGAATGATGCAACTTATTGTTACTGAGGCACAGAGAGGTATTATTAAAATGAGAAAGAATGCACAAAACTTAAAATAAAACCAGCGTTGAATGTAATGAAACGCCAGTTTCTTAGTGAGCCCCGGAGGCTCCCTGAAGCTATCTTACTGATCAAATGCCATCCTGCTTGATTGAGTGCTTTGTAAATCTACTAGGAACCATGAGGCGAAAGAAGCAATGGCCTATGAGCACTTTACATGTAAAGTATGTCATACTTGCCATCAACTGGGGAAGGACACAGAAAAGAAGGCGCATCAAAACAGACCACTGTCTGGTTGAAAATTGTGAGCTACGTCCTCACAAACGTAAAAGAAAGCCCCCACAGAAAGCAAACAAACAAGTAAAACTTCGTCCAACTAACCCTCCGCTCGTTAGCTCCATACCCCGCAGGGAGGATGGGAAGCTGGCCTGGGTAAGTCTGGCCGCCATCATCCAGTTCTTTGAATGATGAAAACAACAAACCGGAGGGAGGGCGTCAGGAAGCCTCTGGGACTCGCCCAGAAACTGGCATTTTATTACATTCAACGCTGGTTTTCTGTGAGTAGCCCCCGTTGGCTCCCTGAAGCTAACTACCCACAGAGAAAGAAAACAGGGAAGAACCTGGGAGGCAGCAGCCCCGCAGAACAACCCAACAAAGATAGCCGGGTGCTACAATAGCCCCAAAGCAACAAAGCCACAGAGGGCCCGGGAGGAACACAAGACCTTGCAGCAAAGACCATCAACAACCCCCAAACCCCAGAGCCCGAAAACCATCTAAAACAACCGAAAGAGTGGCATACCAGTACTTCGAACATCATGGTCACGAGGGGGTAGACCACAGGCCGGCTAGACAAAGATACTGTGAACAACCCGACACACATTAGCCCTGTAACAGAGAACCATGGAAACCTGATCAACCCAGATCACGGCCACCGACACAGAACCAATGGCCCACAAGTAATGGCATAAAGCCGTTATCGGACACAGCACCTGATGCACCCCCAGCCAAATCAACCAAACATCCATAATCAACGGACCCCTATGGAAGCCCACTATTTCCTTCTCCAGAAAAAAAGGAGCAGGCTGAAAACGAAGAAAACGACCCACCAAAAACAAGCACGAACCGAAGAAACCACCATAAATCAAGGTGAAGAAAAAAGGAAAGATCCCAATCCAAAGACCATGAAGGCTCAGGCAGTGCATGAGCAGGCCGGAGGTGAAAACGCATGAAAAAGCTAGCTTAACGGAGCAAAAAGTGACATCCACCCCATAACGCAAGCAAACGCAAGCTGCAGCAGCTTTGCCAACGCCGCACGACACGAAGCAACAGTATCCGGCAAGAGAAAACCAAGAAAAACCAAGAGAGAGAGAGGACAAAAAACCTGGTTAACACTGATGAAACCTGACGAAGAGAAAGAAAAAGGAGAAAAAAAAAAAAACAAGAAACTTCACACTGTCGCTGATGTGTAAACCGCAAGTGGGACACCATGTAAGAAGCCACCTGGTCACCAAACAAGTAAGTAATTATCAAAAAAAGGCACCAAACCGGGAAGGCTATGTAGCACAACCAAATGTGCAGAGTAATCAGAGGGCACTAAATATCACCAAGGATGCCAATACGAGAACAGAAATGCATAAGACAAACGATATCAAAAGTATCAGATTCACCAAGAATTCTATCGAGGGACACTTGATCGCGAGGGACGGTCAGAAAGCAAAACACACGCTTGTCCTGGAAGTCAGGACATTCAACAAGAATGTGCATGACCGTAAGAGGAACAATGCAATTTGGACAATAAGGAGCAGGGTGGCGCTCCATTAAGTGACCGTGAGTTAAACGTGTATGACCAATACGTAACCCAGCCAGAGCCGTTTCCCACCGCCAGTTACGGGGGTAGGAGGAAGGCCACAGGGACACACGACCCATTTGTGGGTCCTCACAAATAACAATTCTTAAAGAAGTATTACTTGGACTTAAGAGTACTCAGTTTGTTACCAGTAATAGAAGACCAACAACCCTGCCAACGGGCAAGGATGGAGGAATGATTAACTGGGAAAATGTCGGAATGAGGAATACCTTTACAGGAGATGGGACAAGTGCGGATAGCTTCCTTAGCGGCAGCATCTGCTCGCTCATTTAAAGAGACACCAACATGGCTGGGAACCCAGCAAAACTCTACTGACTTAAAATTTACTGGAGATAAGAAACAGCCAATGTTGAATCTCGATGACCACTGGGTGAACCATATTAAAGGACCCCAAAGCCACGAGGGCACTACGAGTCAACTACCACCACAAAGAAGGATTGCACCGAAAAAGCAGGAGACGAAGAGCATAGACAACAGCATAAAGTTCTGCTGTGAAGATGTTAGCCTCCGGAGGAAGCCGACACATATAAGTGTGGTCAGAAAAAACAGCAGAGGAGCCCCACACTGTCAGACCAAACAAATGGCAATACACATGTGCAGAAATACAAGACACACAACATGGAGGAGGAAGTTGAACCAATGAGGTACCTCACTGGCCCGACCACCTAAAAGAGGCGGAGCCGCAGAAACGCGCCCGGATTTGGACACCAAGCAAGCAGCGCCTGAAACCAAGGCTGGGCCGGCCACCACGAAGAACTCTTCCCCCACCCCCACCCCCCACCCCCACCCCCAAAAAAAACGGATTCCAACTAATCAGAGCAACAACTGGACTGGGGTAAAAAAGTACAGGAACCCCCAATGCAACGAGTCGTGTCGAAAAGCATCCACCACGAGAAACTCACAGTTGGAGAATGGTGCCACATACAATGGGAAACACTGAAACCATGCTGACGTGAAGAGGTCTACCTTTGGGCGCCTGTATGTTCCTCAAAGACAACCCTCAAATTCGCCCAAGGCGAGAGTACACTCGGAAGAAGTACCATGGTACGACTGAGCCCACAGGGGTTTTCCAGGACCTGCAGAGTGAATAAGCCCTATGGGAAGCCCAGGTACTGGGGCCAGCTAAGCTGGTAAACCCTGTCTAAAGCAGGCAAACTGACTACAAGTAGCAGTTGTGAAACCTCAAGGGCAACCTTGGAGGACCACCACCACAACCTAGACTAAGTCTAATAAGGCGCTGGGCAAACCACCACTGCAACATACTAAAATGCCAAAATGAAAAAGGAAAAACCCTGAAATCTTACAAGCAAACTAGCAGCCAGAGAGAAACATCAGCCGCCGCAAGACAGTAATGCAGGCTGCGCTAGCCACAGTGTGCCCTACCAGCATCTAGGGAAGGTGGCGCTAGGTGCATGCTACTCCAGTACTCGAAACTCCTGGCAACATGCACACACCTGTTTCATAACACTGCTGCAAGGACGAAACACCAAAAAAAAGAAACATGGAGCCAGAGCAACAGCAACCACCTTGCACGACTACATCAGTCAAAGAACTGGATGGTGGTGGCCTGACTTACTCAGGCCAGCTCCCCCTCCACCCTGCTGAGGGTGGAGCTAATGAGCAGGGGGGGCTAGATGGATAAAATTTTGCTTGTTTGTTTGTTTGCATTCTGGGGAAGTTGTTTTGGGCTTGTGAGGAGCATAGCTTGCAATTTTCAACCACACAGTAGTCTGTTTTTATTCACCTACCTTTCTGGATTCTTTTGCGGTCAATGGCAAGTATGACATACTTTACATGTAAAGTGCTCATAGACCATTGCTTTCTTCGCCTCGCTGAGAGGGCCAGTTTCTGGCTCGTGGTCCCCGGTAGACTTGCAAAGAGCTCCAAGTGATGACACTCAAGTAGTATGGCACTTGATCAGTAAGATAACTTCAGGGAGCCGATGGGGCAACCCACAGAAAACCCTATTATATACCTACATAATATAAAGACACTTATTAGACTATCTATCCAAATCAATTATGCAGTTGTGTCAATTATATAATAGATATTTTAAGGTTTACAAAGTCTGCTCAAAGCAGATGTATTACAAAAAAGGCAGTTTATGAAATACTACAAACTAGTAAATTTTACAAAATGTATTACCATCCACTTGGTGTGCAAAGCTCTAGTCCATCTTGCACAATGTCCTATTCCCAGAGAAGTACCTTGACATGTTTTATTACCTATGGCTGATGTAACAATTGACAATTGACTGTTTATTGTTTGTTAATTGATGTTAGTGGTACAGTAAGCCTGATACAAATAATTTATTTTAGAACCTATAATAATAAGTAATGATACAGTAATTTTTTATCACAGACAATAATATAGGATAAAAAACCCAAACTTATGTATTTATGCATTTTATGTAAAGATTTGAACTACACAAAGTCTTTCACACACTCCTGAGTGCATCATTGTTATATTAAGTCTTGTCCAAACCATATACTCAGACCTTGATAATCCACCCAGGAGAGTGCAAAAGTCTTGGTGTAGTTCAAATCCTTAAATTACACACACAAATACACAAGTGAATTTATTTATTTGATCCTAACCTATAATTATAATATAATGATGATAGTACACTAATGTAATAAATAATACTAATACTGTACAAACAATACTACTAATCAAATTAATATACCGTACAAGAATAAATAATAATAATAATGGTTCACCATGAAAACAACATATCCGATTCATATTTGGAATTCCAATATAATGCTATATAACCTTTATATCTATACAGTACAGTATTTATCTATACTGCTGAACTAACCAATTAATAATCAAATTATCAAGACAACGTTCTATAGGCATTATTTTTTGTGAATAATTAAACTTCCATGATGAGAAATTACTTTTAAGTCTAATTCTCAAATAGAGTAAAAGTTTTATGAGGCACTCTGTATTCAACTAGCATTAGTAATCCACATTTCCAATACCTACCAATACAATGCAATATTTTGATGATAGCATTAAACACACTTCCATCTGATTGACCAAACCTGTGTACTACATTCCATTTTGCCTTTGATTTCTTGAGCTCTTGGAACAGATGTGGGAGATAATATGGACCCTTGGGATAAGCAAGTAATTATCAAAAGAAGGCACCAAACCGGGAAGGCTATGTAGCACCATCAAAAGTGCGGAATAATCAGAAGGCGCTAAATATCACCAAGGAAGCAATAAGAGAACAGAAACGCACAAGGCGAACAATACCAAAAGTTTTCGATTCACCAAAAATTCTATCGAGGAACAAGTGACCGCGAGGGATGGTCGGAAAGCAAAACACACGCTTATCCTGGAAGTCAGGACATTTAACAAGGATATGCATGACTGTAAGAGGGACAATGCAACTTTGACAATAAGGAGCAGGGCGGCGCTCCATTAAGTGACCGTGAGTTAAGTGTGTGTGGCCAATACGCAACCTTGCTGGAGCAGTTTCCCATGGAAAAACCATGGAGAAATGCACTCTGACTTAGAGTGACCCTCGTCCCCACACACAGGACAGAGAGAGACAGTACTGGAGCAGTGGAGGACTCCATGCCCAAACCTCCAGCACTTATTAGAGCTGAGGAGAGGGAATGTACAGGACAGAGGACCTGGCACCAGCAAGAATGACAAGAGGGCAGAAGAGTCCTACCATCAAAGGTAATCTTCACAACCCGAAGGGGCAGACGGCAACGACCACGAGGGGGACGAGTAAACGTGTCTACCTGGAGGACAGAATGGCCCTGGGGTTCGAGAATATGCCGAATATCATCGTGGCAGTCCTGTAGATTTCGAACACTGGTTGCAACATGGGGAGGGAGAATAGCGCCAACACTGGCATTCAACCAAGCGTTCTTGGAGACCTGAACAGGGGTCTCCTCAAGGCAGGATAAGGCAGCCAAGCGGGAGGCTGCATCCTGAGAAGGAGCAGCAACAACACGTGTACCAAGACAGGTGGGGGGTTGAAGGTAACAAGAGGCATCTACGGAATCAACAAGATGCCTATGGAGGGAGAAATTGTCAGGAGGAGTAGAATCAAGAGGGAGGAGATCAAAGTATTTGGCAACACGAAGCGGGACCAAACAAGGCTTGATACGCATCAGGACGGGAAGGAATCGAGCGAGTGCGGTCGTGGCGCGGACGGCATTGAGAATTCCCAGAGAGAGAGAGAGAGAGAGAGAGGTTAAAAGGTGCAGTAGTCACAATGAGAGACTGAGCCGTACCAGGGGACGGGGTGCCAGGGGACTGTGGGCTTGTGGCTCGACCCAACCACAGAGTAGGGAGGGGAGTAGTCATGAGGGTCAAAGAAGGAGCAAGGTCAGGGCCCAATGCAGCGGGGGGCTACAGAGTCCAGTCTTCCAATACAGTCCGACTCGGGGGCTTGGTCGCCCACCCCACGAGCCTGAGACAGTACAAGAGGAACATTCACAGACAAAGACAAGAAGTAACACTTTCATTCACGAATGTGCCCCCACACCCACCATGGAGCCACAATTAGAGGCAGGACACCCAACAAGAAGCTATCGCCGATCATGCCGGGGCTCCCTAGGGGGTGTGTCGGGAGTATACGCCCCACAAACGCCACCTTAAGCACTGTCAGTCCATCGAGATTGAGTTCAGTGACGAAAGGGGGATTGACAATAAAAGGTTCCCCTCACTCGAGATGGTGGGTACTACAGTTCTACGGGTGCAAGAGTATGCCTCCTCAAACACCCGGGCGTCAAAACAAAAGAAGGCCAAAAGAATGATCAAAACAGGCACAAGGTCAGCGGGAAATGACAACGAGAAAGGAGAAGAGGGGGGGGGGGGGAGAAAAACAAAACAAAAGGAAAATGTGTCCAATAGAATTAGAGAGGACAGCAGCAGGAGCACAAGGCTACAAAAGGACAGAGGACTGTCTTAAGGAACATCACACTCCGGCAGCCGCCCACCAAGCCCCCTCACGACGACAACGGGCCAGAAAGGGAGGGGGGTGCTCTGACCAATCCTTTTGGTGGTTGATCCGGTCAACCAGGCTGTTGGATGCATCTGCTCACAGCCCGGTTGATCAGGTATCCTTTGGAGGTGTTTATCAAGTTCTCTCTTGCACACTGTGAGAAGTCAGTCAGTTATGCCCCTTATGTGCAGTGGAAGCGAGTTGAACATTCTCCCCGCTGTTTTTCTCCTGGAACCGCGCGCAATACTTTCTCACCATTGACTTAGCCACACCAATCAACAGACATATTTCCTCAGTTTTGTGACCTGAATCCTTTAAAGTAATGATCTAAGCAATGGTATCTTTACTTAGTTCCTTGGTAGGTGCCATAAGAACAATGTAACACCCCAAGCACCACTAAAATGTGCATGAAACAAGGTGGCAGAGAAAGATGCGGCACACAACCACTTGCCATGAAAGCCTGGAGGTACCTACTGGCAGCTAACAGATGCTGTGAAGTCACGGAGCAGCTGCAGACTTCTGATTAATATCATTTCACCCACAAAACTTCTTTTGCCATACGTATATATATATATGGCGTCATGCAGGCGGTGCATACTTTTGACAAATAGTGTATTAATTGCAATGTTATCACATTATTATTCAAGTATTAATTTCCTGAAAGATTCTTGTAAAATTGTAAAGGTTGTGTCTAACAACCTTTGTTGTTAGACACAATCTGTGGAGAAGAACACAGTAAAACTCTGGCATACGAGTTGTGTTCTAAGCCTTACATAGTGCTAATTTTTGTTATATTAAAACTGAGTAACATACACTTAAGTAATAGATACAGCACACCCCCATCCTAAAAAAAAAAAAAAAGATAAATCTGTTTATGAACCAGGCATATTACCAAAGTGCAAGAGAATACAAATACCTAGGTAGACCTAGGAGGATGCACTGGGCAAGAATCAATAAATTCGTCAAAAATGCCTTCAGGTGTTGCTTGTTAACCTATGCCATTATAATGAATATACTGCCAAAGAAATCACAAACATGATTTATCAATGAGAAAATCGGTAGAAGCCATGATAAATATTTGAACCTGCACACTGGGTACTCTCAAGTATACACCCTAAATGACAACTTTGTGCATTTAAAGAGAAGCATTGGAGGTAGAACTCTTGTACCACAACCAGAGTGCATGATGACAATATGTGAAACCCTGACTGGTCTTCAATGAAAGCCTCAGGACCCCTAGAGGATTCAGTTGAATCCCAGGTTGCATTGCTTTTAGCATGTAATGGCCAAGTTGTTTAGGGAAAATGCTTGGGAGTACCCAGTGTGTAGGTTCTTCAAATCCTCAACATTGCTTCTACTGATTTGCTCAATGAATATAGTGCACTGTACTCTCTAAATCTGCCTCACTTGCAGTGTGTGTGTTTAGCTGACTTTCCAATCTTACTGTAACTTCGAGTGTACAATTCAATCCCTATGGTACATACATTACTGTGCTGTATACTGTGAATACAATAATATGGTACATATGTATTATAAGGTACAGTATTAAAATGCAATACATTATGATGTACTGTATTATACATAATATATTTTGAAAAAATATATTGTTTCATAAAATGCTAACTTTTATTTATTTAGATGACCATATATTTTTTTGAATGGATATTTCCTTAAAATACAAAAAGGTAATTTTTGTTGTAATACAGTGTATTGTAATAATGCTTTATGCAACTCATCCTCCAGTTTAGATAGTACTTTTTGTAATTATGTGCACCATAGTACAAACATTGACTTGCTAAGGAATTAGTGGAATTTTGTACTACATTATTCACTTTATTGAGTAAAAAAAAAAAAATAAGGCTAAAAAACAAACTTAAATAATCCAAGGCCTAGTATAGCACACAGATGCACTGTATTAGACCTCAGATTGTGTGTATTAGGCCTCAGAAGATTAGGGTAGGTTAGTTTAGAGTGTCTTTGCAACAAATAGAAAATCTTTTCTGGTTTGTCCAAATTTTGTATGTCCAATTTCTACTTTCTAATTGTATTGTTCGTCGATATATGTATTATGGTCCTCATCGTCACTATAAGTACTGCCAAAATAGGAGGATGGGCTGCTTTATTCTGCCACTGCATATTACTGGAGTTTCACTTTATAATTAATTTACTAAAGGTATTGATGATAATTATCAACCCAATTTATCTAACTTCCTCATGCTCATGTATTGGGAGGAGATCCTTTGGAGGCCTCTTCCTAACAGCCTTCTGCTAAATCTTGATAATTGGAAAGCACGGGTGGGTTGTGAAGTCAAATTGGGGTCGAGTTGGGTCATCAGCCTTATGGCCACCCTCCAAAAGCTTCATGACAACAAAGTTTGTTTTGACTACTTTCAGAAGCTGTTGCACCTGTGGAAAAATTATTTTTTTGTTATATCGTATAGTACTATATTACATAAATACCAATGCCACATCACTACAATAATTCTAAACAATACAATGTAGTAAATAATTATCAAAAGAAGGCACCAAGCCGGTGATACCCGCTTGGTGGGGTTTTGGGAGTTGTTCTACTCCCCAAGCCTGGCCCAAGGACAGGCTTGACTTTTGAGAGCTTGGTCCACCAGGCTTGGAGCAGCCTGCAGGCTCACATAACCACCACAGCCTGTTTGGTTCGGCACCCCTTGAAGAAAACTATCTAGTTTTCTCTTTAAGATGTCCACGGTTGTTCCTGCAATATTTCTTATACTCGTTGGATGTTGAATAACCGTGGGCCTCTGATGTTTATACAGTGTTCTCCGATTGTGCTTATGACACCCCTGCTCTTCACTGGTTCAATTCTGCATTTTCTTCCGTATCAGTCACTCCAATATGATGTTACTTTACTGTGTAGATTTGGGACCTGGCCCTCCAGTTCCATTTTCCATGAGATATTTGATATCTCTCTTGTCTCCTTTCTATTTAGTACATTTGGAGAGCTTTGAGACTATCCCAATAATTTAGGTGCTTTGTTGCGTCTATGTATGCCGTACATGTTCTCTGTACTCCCTCTATTTCAGCACACTCTCCTGCTCTGAAGGAGTAAGTAAGTACTGAGCAGTACTCAAGACGGGACAGCACAAGTGATTTGTAGAGTACAACCATTATGATTGGATCCCTGGATTTGAAAGTTCTCGTAATCCGTCCTACCTGTTTTCTGGCTGACGCAATATTTGGTTATGCTCCCTAAACGTTAGGTTGTCAGACATCCTTTTTCCCAAATCCTTTACATGCTGATTTCCTACTATAGGCAGATTTGATTTTTTTTTTTTTTTACCCTGTATTATGTTTAAATTCCTGGAGGCTATGTAGCACCGTCAAAAGTGCTGAATATTCAAAAAGCGCTAAATATCACTAAGGATGCCAATACGAGAACAAAAGCACACAAGGCGAAAAACATCAAAGGCATCCGATTCACAAAGGATACCATTGAGGGACAGGTGACCACGAGGGACAGTCTGGAAGGAAGATTCACGCACATCCTGGAAGTCAGGACATTCAACAAGGATATGCATGACCGTAAGAGGGGCAATGCAGTTCGGACAATAAGGAGCAGGGCGGCGCTCCATTAACCCTTCTGTTACTCGGTGATTAATGGCATTCAACACCACCAGGTGCAACACAAACAAAAATTCTAATTTTTTTCATCTTATAAAAGTGTTCATTGTGTCCCCTGAGCACGGGAAAAATAAAAAAAATTTAATTGTACTTACCAATGACGTAAATGAGCCGAGAACTTGGCCAATGACGTCACAGATCTTTGTCGCTCAAGCATGGTGCGTCCCGGGAGTGTCGCATGCACGGTGTTCAAGCAGCCCGAGTTGCAGCGAATTTATTTTTACGGCATTATTTACAGTATCTATGGACTATTTTACAATAATTTTTTCACTAGTATCGTAAAATATATAGTCAAGTGATGTTGCATTATAATACAACTTATTCAATACACTCACATATTAGTGTCACATGTATGTGCACAAAAATGTTTTACTTTTCAGGAAATATAAAATGTACAGTATTATGAACATGGTTTCAATATATACATTCACTCAACATGTACATGTTTTTGCACCATTATTGGACATTTAGAAGTCCTGGAGACTGTGATACTCGTCGAAACACTTGACATAGCACAAAGGGACCTTACTCGCTGAGCACCATGTTAGGACCAATTTTTGTTTTGGTGGGTTCTTTTGTGTGGTCTTACACACAATGCACTCACACTGGCCTACTGCATGCTTTCCAGTTGGTGGTAAATACCATATTTTGTGTGCAAGAAAGGCCTTCTTGAAAGTGAGCATGGGTGTGGAAGCATGGTGCAATACTGGGCTCACAATGGGCCTTGGTATGCCAGTAATTGGTTTGCCAAACTTTTCCAGTAGTTGTGTCACTACAGTAAAACTAAACGAACAGAAATTTGGTTTATGTATCCTGTTTTCACAAGATACATATAGTAATGTAACTGTTCAGCATTATTACGTCAACAAGGTGGAAAAAATCTTCTTGATCCACTTCACTGTTTTCCGTACACACTCGACTGCCCCCCACCATCATATCACATTTATCCACCAAATGCATGTTGATGTTATAGTCCAAAACTAAATCTGGTTTATATAATGGTTGTTTCGTGCAATTGTTCACCTTGCCACTGTTCAGCATTGTACCATTGTGAACAGCTTGTCAACATGTTCACTTCACGCCTGTCTTTCCCGCGCACTGAAAGCATTCCACCAGCTTTTCTTAGCGCGCAATCACCAACCTACATAGTGTCAAACACAGGCATTTCCCTTCGTTTTGCCTTCACTGTGCGACACACTCCAGTTCTATTATCAAGAAAGAACCTAGGTAGCAAGGGGACATATAATAGTTATCTGTGAATAATATGTGGCCCTTGTTCAGTCATGGCACAAGCAGTGACCTCACCACACTACCTGAGAAACCATGTTTGTCATTAGCACGAATGTCTACATTTGTACCCAAATACATCATCATGTGTAACAATTCCTGGTTTACAGTCACAGAGTACAAAGAATTTGTACTCTGACAAATGGCACGTCCTTTGAAAAGCACAAGGGGTTCATCAATCACCAGCTTCTGAGCCCGTACGTAGAAATCTCTGAACTTTCCAACAAATTCATTCAGGACGTGCCTTGCCCTCCAAAGCCTATCATCCTCTGTCTCGTCTTCATTACTTGCAAATTGAAGACACCTGAGGTGTATCACAAATCTGTCTCGAGACATATATTTCCCGAACAATGGTGTTGGAACAGTCTGGTCTTTGCTCCAGTAATGGTTGATTACATATTTGACACAATGCTTCAGCAACATACACACTGCCAAAAACACATACTTTTCACCTACAGTCTTATCTTTCCAACACTGTAATCCTGAAAAATCCGATAGCTCTTCATCAATGAGATCAGCCGCATATTTGTTTGTTTCCCGAACAATATGTTCCATTAGCAGCTCATCAAAATATACGGCAAAGTAGTCAATTTAACATACGTATATCATTACCTGTATCAGGGAAAAGGTCTGTAATCCCAACATCTGTATTGTCAAAGGTGGGAATTTCTGGGACAAAATCTTCCCATCACTCCACATAAAACACTTGGTGTCTTCTGAGAGGCAACAGCAGCACCACAGCGAGGAATCCATGGACCAGGAGCTGAAGCCCGTCTAGCAACAGTAGGAATGGGAAGTAATGATGAGGGAAAATTACTTGACAATGAGGGGTTTTGTTCATGTCTGTCCCCGTGTGGTGCCATGAGGTGGCGCTTGGCTGGGCCAAATGCTGCTGATGCGATAAAACGTCCCTCGTTAACACCACGCATTCCACTGGCACTAGCGACAGCAAAACTATTCTCTGATTATAAATCACTAAAACCAGAAAATGATTCATCTTCCTCAGACTCGTTGTCTAAAACATCATCATCTTGCAGAGATCTTGCACTCAACCACATGAACTACTGTATGTGGTTGAGTGCAAAGTGGTGTCTAGTGTGGGCGAGGAGGTATGGATGACAGACTACGCCTTACCCACGTGGCACCAGCATGTCTACTCTCATCATCTGCCATATCCACATCTGAGGGCTGTGTGTAGTCCTGATCTGTCAGTCGTCAACATCAGTCAGGAGAGTCCGAGAAGGAACAAGGTCAGGGCCTAATGTAGCGGAGGCTACAGAGTTCGATCTTCCAATACAGTCTTAACTCAGGGGCTTGGTCGCCCACCCCACGAGTCTGGGAAGTGAAAAGAGGGTCAATCATTGGCATAATGAGCAGGTAACAGTTTCATTCATGAACTCTTCTTGAAACCCCACACCCACACCATGGAGCCACAATTAGAGGATAGGACACCCAACAAGACAGGGGCACCCCCAGGGGTGCATCGTGAGTATATGCTCCGCAATCGACACCTTAAAAACCATCAGTACGTCGAGATCGGGTTCAGCAACGAAGGCGAGGATTGACAATAAAAGTGTCCCCTCGCTCACAATGTCGGGTACCACAGTTCTATGGGTGAGAGAGTATGCCTTCCCAAACACCCGGGTGTCAAAACAGAAGTAGTCAATAACATCCATAACAGCAAGAGGTCAGCACAGGAAATGACAATACTGTATTGATATTTGAAAATGACCGGCTTTTTAATCCCCTTGAATGAAATGCTAAGATCTGGAGACGAGCAATCACTCGCTGGGAGCAACAAAAACGGACCGGGCCATAGACTGACTTTTTAATCCCCTTGAATGAATGGCTGGACCTTGAATGCTAGCAATCACTCGCCAAGGTAACGGAAAACACATGCGCCAAAGACCGGCTTTTTAATCCCCCTTAAACGTGCCTGTGCAGGGACACTGAGCAACTAGCTGGTGACGTCATTGACAATTAGCGATGCCTGTGCAAGGGTCACTGGGGTAACAAAATTTTGGGATGACTGGAAGCGGCTGTTTAATCCCCTTGAGCGAAAATGACAGGGACCAAGTACCAGCTTTTCAAAAAAATTTGAGGAAACCCATTGACCATAGACAGGGTTTTCGAAAGAAATTTGAGAAAACTTTTGGCCATAGACCGGCTGGGGAAAAAATTTAGAAAAAGCCATGCGTCAATGACTGGCCTGGGGGGAAAAATGGTTACCCCCCTGCGCCAATGACCGGCCTTGGGGAAAAAATGGATACCCCCTCCCCTGCGCCAATGACCGGCCTTGGGGAAAAAATGGATAACCCTCCTGCGCCAATGACCGGACCAGGAAAAAATGAAAACGGCCAGTCACTGCAGGCCTTTTCAGCTACTTAAGTAGTGCAAATGGCCCCTATGCTGGTCCATTTTGTTTTGTTTTTTGATGGAGGGCATAGGCGCAGTCCATATTTCTGCATGGACGGTCAGAGCATGGGGGGGTATTCTCCAATTTTTTCCCAACAGACAGGCATAGCATAGAGTGTTTTTCTATCATTGCCATTTCGCTCCAGGGGATTAAAAGGCCGGCTCCTGGCGCATCCAAATTCTGTTACCCCCGTTGACCCATGCATAGGCATCGCTAATGGACAAATGACATCATCAGCTGGCCAGTCTTCATCTTCCCTGGATAAGTTAGTTTACTGAAATAGCATATTTAAACTTAGTTTTCCTAATGTTTCCCATTTTCAGAGTTCATTTTATAGATAAGATTGCATATTAAACATAAGAAATGAAATTGCACAAGGGCTTTTGCTGGATCTCCTATTTATTTCCTATCTATGTCAACCAAAACATCAACTAGCACTATTAGATGAAGTGCAGTAGACCTATTCTCAATTATTACCCTCCTTTCCTCTCCTCTCCATTTATACATTCAATCATGTCACTCTGTCAATATTCAGAAGGACCTATTTGCTCGCCTTACTTATATTTAAAGTGTCCAGCCAAGGATCGCTTATTGAGCATAGAAATTGATGAAATCCACTATCTCTTACTGTATTTGTATGAAACAAAGGGGCGCAGCACAGAGCATGAACTAGCATGCATCTCAGCGTTCACCCCTGTTACCAAACCAGTATTTACTCAGGTCTTATTTTTTTTTTTAATGATTTAGATCTAAATCTAAAACTTATCCAATTTATAGCCACTGTCTTGTGTTCTGTCCAGTGTTGATATTTTTAATAGCCTATTAATATCCCCCCTTTATCATGTCCATTCAGTCACACCTCTACCATGTCACCCCTATTTTTCACCTTTCTAGATAATGTAATTTAAGCTTTGTCCATCTTTCTTCTAGGATCGTTTATTGAGCATAGGGAAAATAAAAATGAAAAACCCACTATCATCCATTTGTATGAAAACAGACCCCCCCCCCCAGGGCATGATGACTTCAATAAGGAGTTCAGTAGCAAAACCAATATTTGGTTTCCTCATCCCCAGGAGGGGAGGAGGAAACATAGGAAAGAGGAAAAGACCTCCAGCACAATTTGTGAAGATGGCAGCAGGAGCATAAGGCTACAAAAGGACAGAGGATTTTCCCATGGAGCATCACACCCCAGCAGCCACCCACCAAGCCCCCTCACGACGACAACGGGCCAGAAAGGGAGGAAGGTCGAATCTCCAAAGCTAAATTCCTGTTTGCCACTCTGTGTAGCATTCTGTGTCTTTTACTTGATAATCTGGGCAGCTGAGATCATAGCATTTTCTCTCCAAGTGAGATTTTGCAAGAAATACCTGAATGTTGATCCAAAATTACATTTCCCTTCCTAATTATATTTAGTAAATTTTTTGGAGGGGGTAGCTGCATTCCCTTTCTCTTACCACAATATCGATGTCTGATATATGATCATAAGCCTCATGGCCTAATTCTACACCACTTCTCAGGTACTCTTTACATTCAAAATATTTGCCTCCTTACACTCACCCACCAAGTTTGCTCCTCCTCCTCTTGGCTTTCCACTCATCCTAAATACTTACAATTTCATACAAATCAATGCTTCAACTGTCAATCATCCAATCATTCAACATGCGAAGCCACCTTAGAACACTCAAATCATACAATTCACCGACTTTTGCACTCCATATCTTTAAGTTAAAATTGGTTTTAATTTATATTACCCTTCTAACATCACACATGCAATTTAAAATGTATTTCTACACTACTATTCATGTCAAGTACTTCTTCATTTATACTCTTTTTACCTTTCCTTTCCCTAACCTTTCAAGAATCATAATTTTACTCTTGTTCACAGTCACTTGTAGCAGTCTTCTCCATGTAAAACCTTCAATTGCTCTTCTTAACTCTGTCTTAACTCTTTGGGAGAAAATTCAAAATGCTACTTTAACCACGGCAGTCTTCATAGGTAGCTAGGGCCAGCTAGTTTACTAGCCAGCCTCTCATAACATATTTCCTTGCACTGTAACTAAATATGAATGATAAGAATACATACCTCACTGCTGGGAGCATGAATTGTTTCAAGTAGAGACCGTGCTTTGAAGAAATGATTCCTAGCATCATGATAAAGTGTGGCTGGAGACACTGGCTGTTAAAAAGAAAAAAAAAAAAACATTGAATGTAATGAAATGCCAATTTCTGGGTGAGCACCAGTGGCCCTCTGAAGCTAATATCACTAATTCAGTGCCATACTACTAGGTGCCATCACTCGCGGAGTTTTATTGGCTGACTAAGGACCACACGCCAGAACCTTCTTGATATGTGCAGTTTGCACGAAAAATTTATCCTCCTGATGACTACATGAGTACAAATGTTGGGAGATGCGCCACCATGGATCGTCAGTGTTGAGAATGCCAAGGTCTGAAATTTTTTTTTCTTTGGCTGTTGATAGAGAAGTGGCGACTAAACAGAGGCATGTGTTAGAAGGGCATTTGCTCTCTGTATTTGGCTGTTGGTGGCAAGAGGTATAAATGTAGCACAGGTCAAACGTGGCCAATTTGTTGGTTGATTGGAGATATTTAGCCAGCCAGTGCTTTGACAATTTGATATTTTTCATGTAACAAGACGTCGTTACCTCCTAATATATGATCGATGGTAAAAAAAAAAGTTTGTTAAGGGTGATAAGTACTTGCTTGAAGTTTATTCTGGTGCTATGATGTCGAAAACAGTAAAGGTGGAGGTAGTGGTCGATTGTGTCTGGAGCATGGCAGTGGATGCAAAGTTTGATGATGTCTGTTCTCTATTTAGAGCTGTGTGCTGCCAGTTTGGTGTATCCCAGCCTTAATCTGGTCATCGTTACATCAATTACTCTTGTATTATACCCGACATGTTTCCAAGTTTCCCATTTCTTTTATATGGACGTTTTCCATTTCGTTACAAAATCTTGAGTGATGGTAACTTTAAGGGATCCTTTACGTACAACGTAAGTAATTGGATGATGGGTAATGTAAAGTGTGTTGTGCATCGCTTTGGCCAGTTGATCAAGTTAATTATTAATTGAGTATACCACAATGCATTGGGATCAACTGAAGAGAATTGATAATCAGCCCCCTCAGAGAGGTATATGGAGCAGCAACAATATGAACACCTTACATTTAAAGTAATTCATGTCTGCCACCACCAGGGAAGGCATGGAGTGCATCATGTTTCGTGACCAGTTGCAGCTTTACATTGCTACCTGCAGGCCCCTGGTTCGGAGACAGTGGACTCGCTTTCGGTCGATCTAGTTTTCCTGGTTCTCCTTTCCAGGGCTTGTGTTTCTCTGGTTATCCACAGTGTTCTCAGGTCTAGCCAGCCTGCAGTCTAACCTCGTGCCCATGATGAGCGGAATTATGCTGTTCTCACTGCTGTGATTGGGATGTCTTGGGTTGACATTTGGGCACAGTGGTTTTGGAGCTCGGACAGGGTCCTGGCCGCCCGTTCTCTTATCAGCGTTCCAGGCCCTCTGTGGCCTTTTGTTGCTTTAGGGCATCTGTCTCGGTCTGTTGTCTCTTCGTCTTGAGACTTGTGGTGCTGCCGCCTACTGGGTTGGTCCCTGTTTTTACTTATCTGTGGGCAGTTAGCTTCAGGAAGCCGATGGGGCTCCCCACAGAAAATCAGCATTGAATGTAATAGAACACCATTTTCTGGGCAAGCCTCGGAGGCTCCCCGACACCTTTCCTCCCTCTGGTTGGCGGTTTTCATCATTCTTCGAACTGGAGTGGTGAGCTGCTGGCTCACCTGAGTGGGGTTCCCCTCCCACCTGTTGAGGAAGGGGTGGGTGCTAATGAGCGGGCGTGCTAGTTGGATGACTTTTTTTTTTGCTGGGGGAGGTCTTTGGCTTTGTTCAGATGTAGGTTGCAATTTTCACCAGTTGGAGGTTTGTATTGTTACGCATACCTTTCTGGGGGTACTGTATTCCCCTGTCGATGGCAGCCATGACAATATTCTAAATGTAGTGCTCATATGGCCATTGGCCATATGAAAACAGTAAACCACCATTTAGCTGAAGGCATGAAACAGATGTCAAAGGTGACAGTGGACATCCAGGCTACCAACGGCTGCCAGTAGCAAAAACAGGGAGGAGCAGCTGGCTGACCCAATCTGCCTCCCTCCTCACCCCCAGATGAAGGAGGGGGGGGGGGGCAAACTAGCTAGTACAAACTGGTATAAACTGTACTAGCTCATTTGCGGGGCAAACGTCCTAGGATAAGTTTCATAAATTTTTTACCATTTGTTAACATTTTTTGGGGAGTTCTTTTGGTGATTTTAAGGTATCATTATTTCTTATAACCAGCAGTGGTCTGTTTTGTTTTGTTGACTTTGTGGGTGCAGACATGATTAAAACTTCACTCACAATTTTATCATAGCGCCACTGCTCTCTGCTCCTCATTAGAAGGCCAGGTTCTGGCTTGTGGACCCCAGTAGGCCTAAAAGAACTCTGACTGATGAAAGCTAGTAGTTTGGCACTATATCAGCATTGGAGCTTTAGGGAGCAACAAGGAGAGCCCCCCAGAAACTCGAAGATAATTTGGAGCTGAAAATAAACAAAACTGCATGAAACGCAATACAAAAATTCTTTATACTGTAATGCTGAAAACATAATACTCTACAGAATGTAAATTAAACAAATGGCAGTACAAGTCTACAGAATAAACAATGATAAAAATGACTCAGAAATGCAAGTGAATAGAGCATAGAGTATGTAAGAAAAACTGCTGTCATAAAAGTAAAGTAGTTGTCACAAAGTATTATGGCATTTAAAAAATAAAGATCAATATTAACAAAGACTTTAAATTATTTGTTGAGTTCACCTGAGGAAAGTTGGATAAATCAGTCATGGATAGAAACTGATCATAGTGCACAGGTGGAGGTGTCATGACTACACTGAATGGCAGGAAGCGATGCTCATACCGAACTTGTTCACTATCAAATTCTTGAAGAGGTAGCTTCACCTTTCCTGCCTCTCTCAAGCCTAACATTGCCTGGAAAAATAAGAAAATTATACTAATTTGAAAGTGCTCCAATTTAACTCATCAACGGATATTCACAAACACTGGAGAGAATCTACCCCCTGGTAAGAAACTAAGTAGCCCAGTAGAAATGAGAATTATGAACCAGCACTGAATGTAATGAAATACCAATTTTTGGATAAGCCCCGGTGGCTCCCTGAAGCTACAATGTTGATCAAGTGCCAAACTACTAGGTGCCATTAGTCGTGGAGTTCTTTTAGGCCTACCGGGGACCACGAGCCAGAATGATAAGGCGGTGACACATGACCCAAGACCACACACGGCCGACGAGATACCAGAGTGCCAGGTCCCTGTTTGACTGCCAAAACCCCCATACTCGAATATCAGCCCAAAACATTGACAAACACAGCCAAGAGCGTTGACAAATTTCTAAACATCATGGGCACGAGGGTAGACCACAGGTAGGCAAGGCTTAATAACACTACGGTACTGTACAGATGACCCGAAATATACCAGCCCTGTAACAGGGTACCCAGGAAACCATATCAACCCGTGAGTAAACCGAAATAGAAGCAGTGGCACGAAAGTAGTGGTGCAGAGCTTCCACCATTCATGGCACATGATGTAACCTTGGCCAAACCAATCAAGCATCCACAACCAAAGGACCCCTGTGGAAGCCAACCAATTCATTCTTCATCAGAAAAGTAGAAGCCAACAGCAGACAAACAAAACAACCCCCAGGGCCGAAAGAACAAAAGGTTTTCGGCTACCTTTGGCGTCAAAAACACCTGTGCCAAACGAGAGCATAAAGCTCTCACACACAACCATAGGCGAGAGATAAAATAAAACAGCCTTATGAAAGCAATAATGAACCGAAGGGGGACACAAAAGGAACTGAAGGAAAAAAAAAAAAACAGTCCACAGACCAAGCAGGCCAGAAGTGAAACAGCACCCAAGGAAGATTATGAAATGGGGGTCGAGGAATACTTCCTCGACTCCGAACGCAAGCTGAAACAGCTCTGCAGCACCGCACAATACGAGGCGACAGTATTTGGCATCAGATGCAATTCTAAAAAAATCAAAGAAAGGAAAGTCAGGACAACTGAAGTTGACACCGAAGAGGAACGACAAAGAAAGAGAAAGTGACAAAAAGCATACCAGGAGACTTCATAATATCACCGAGAGGAGGACCATAGGTGGGACACCAATAAACCAGTCACCTGATCAGATCGTAATAAAAACACGTCATAAACTCCAGACACGAAGATCAGAGAAGGAGGAGGAGGAGGAGGAACTGGCATGGGGGACACAGGTGGAAACTGAGTACCCAAATGGCCCACAGACATCAGAAAGATTATTTTTTCAGTGAAAGGGTAGTTAACAGATGGAATGCATTAGGCAGTGACATGGTGGAGGCTGACTCCATACACAGTTTGAAATGTAGATATGATATGAGCCCAGGAAGCGCAGGAATCTGTACACCAGTTGAGAGGCGGCACCTCCACTAGCTCTGAAACTGGCCCTCTCTGACCAACTGAAGAAGCCACCTTAGCCGTGCCAAGTAATGTTGCAAAACGAGGACAACTTCGAAGACACAGGAAATCGGACAACTGATAGCAAACAATAGCCACAGAAGACAAGAACCGTTTGACAACCTCCTCCGGAAATAATAATGGAGAAAATGAGGGGCCCTTGTTTTTGTCATCAGGAAGACCAGGGCCCATGCCAGTCAAAAAACAAGGCCACTGCCACTTGAAGGATAAGGGCACACAGCTTAAGAAGAGCTGCCAACAACGGAACAGCGGAGACTAAAACCCCAGCTAGAGAAGCACTGCCGAGTGCCCCAGAGTCCTCCATGAGCCAGTCCAAATGTCGCTCGAGTAGGCACAAGAAGCAAACGACAGAACCCACGTGCAAACGAGTACGAAGCATATTAATAATGCATGTACAGCTCTAGAAGTCTTGCCACACCTGACAGCTGATTAGTAATTAAATTCACACAATATATACACACTTATAAATGACATGCGTGCTTATACCATACCTCATTACAGCTACCATAGGAAAGTTTGTCATGTGTTCATCACCTTCAGCAACTCTGCCAACTATTATGACATAACTTAATATTCTGCATAAGGTTAATGGTAACTAATGTATAACAAATATAACTAACACCCTCCAGTTTGCTTTTTGCCAATCGCTGTCAATCTCCCTACTGTCCCAACCACACGGGTGTTTCTATAGGCCATTGTTCCTCGTGCCTCTCTGAGGGAACCAGGTTCTGGCCGTGGTTCCTGGTAGGCAAGAACTCCATGCACATTGACTGATGCCAGGGAAAGTTATACATATCCATATCAGCCTGGATAGCTCTGGGGAGCTGACAGGGCTCCCCCCAGAAAAAACAACAAGTACCTCCAAAAGAAAAGTGATCAATCAGCCTGCCCGCAGGCGCATCGAACAGCTTGGTTGATTAAACCAGCACCCAGAAGGCTTCGTCAGAGACCGGGCTGCAGAGACACTGATCCCCCAAAGTTATCAGCAGGAAGGTAGACAAACATTAACTATAATTCTTATTATAACTATACTTAATTCTTAATCATTTACTGTTATACTGTACTAAACTTCAAAGCCTAAACATATAATATAGTATGGTACTTACTTTATAGTAACCCCCACACAAGTGTTGAAGTGCCTGGTTATATGTGATTTCTTTACCATATGGCCGATGTTTCTTTTTATTTCTGTTTTTGTTTTTTGATGATCTTCCACTTTTGCCGCTCTTGTTTGTATCATAGCCGTCTTGCTCCAGGAGCATGGCATCTGCCCTTGAAAGTGCACTCACCAACCATACGTAAACAAATTCATAGAGATACCTGAAAATAATATTAGTCGGAACTTTAACTATTAAATTAACAAAAATGTTTATATAAAACTACACAGTATATGAGTTATATATATAACTCATTCACTCCATTCACAAAAGTAAATGAAGTACAGTACCAGTATATGAAAAATTTGGTGAGAATTTTCTGACAAATGAACAGAGCATTAGACAATTGGCCATGTCTTACAGTATTTACAGGCCAATTGTCTAATGCTCTGTTTGTTCATTTGTCAGAAAATGCTCACCAAATTGATTGGGAGATTGCTTCTTCAATAACGAATTGTAAAAGTACTTTCAATGGGAACATAATTGAATCTGCTTTAATACAGATTACAATGTAATTTGAACATTAGCAGTGGTTTATATAATTTAGATCCATTTTTGATTAATCAATTAAAGAGCAATTTGAGTAGGACCATTGATACACATTTGTCTCACTAATTCATTGTTAATATCTACTATCGTATGCTATTATAATCCATGTATGGGCCTATTGATGCAGCTCTTATTTTATGGGCCCATAACACATTAGTAGTTATAAATAGGAGCTGCCTCATATGGTCAATAGGCCTTCTGTAGTTCCTGTTGTTCTTATGCAGCTCTTATTTCATATCCACCTAATCCCATTCATTTATTTGTCATTGCACCTCTCTCTCCTGCCTAGATATGTCCACACTTATCAACTTTTAAATCATTCCTTCTGAAGATATATTAATATATGAAAGTACTTCAGAATATTCCTTTTTCAATTCTTCCTCAGTGGTCTGACACTCACATTTTTTGTCACGTGTTTTGAGTGAGTGTGAGAGAGTGTGAGAGAGAGAGTGAGAGAGAGAGAGAGAGTGAGAGTGTGAGAGTGAGAGAGTGTGTGAGAGTGTGAGAGAGAGAGTGTGTGAGAGTGTGAGAGAGAGAGTGTGTGAGAGTGTGAGAGAGAGAGTGTGTGAGAGTGTGAGAGTGTGAGAGAGAGAGTGTGAGAGAGAGAGTGTGAGAGAGAGAGTGTGAGAGAGAGAGTGTGAGAGAGTGTGAGAGAGTGTGAGAGAGAGAGTGAGAGTGTGAGAGAGAGAGAGTGAGAGAGAGAGTGAGAGTGTGAGAGAGAGAGTGTGAGAGAGAGTGAGAGTGTGAGAGTGAGTGTGTAAGAGAGTGTGTAAGAGTGTGTGTAAGAGTGTGTGTAAGAGAGAGTGTGTAAGAGAGAGAGTGTGAGAGAGACAGAGAGTGTAACACGTCATATGACGTGTTGGAGTACTACGCTAGATTTAAACGGCCTGCAGATACACGGGGGTTCACCTCACCTTCATCAGGGCTCTTGTAAACAGATTCCATTTTTTTTTTAAATCATGGGCCACATTCCCGGGTGTGAGGGCCTCAGTACTGAGTGAGCCACCATGGCTGGTGCACGCAGCATGAGCTCACAGCACTGCTGTTCAGCTTGTGGCCACAGCATCGCCTAAAAATGCCATAATATATATGTACATGCTATTATTTAGCAATGCTAGTATTACAGAAGACCCCTGACTGTAATAAAAATGACCAGGATTCCGATAATAGCAGGATTGTTGTGATAATTAGTGCTGTAATGGGAGGGGTAATCTGGGTAGGGATGCAAGTTGTGTTGTCTACTGACTCTGTGTGACCACCTTTTACTGTCTGGACTCACTATATCACTTTAGTTGTTCGCTATAGTGAACGAAACATGCAGATACTTATAAATAACGTCTGAATATACTGTAGTGAATAAAACCAAAAACAGTATGGTGGGAGGAGAATGTTGGCGAGTCAGGTGAGGTGAGAGAGGGAGGGAGTGACAGCCAGTGGCGGGCTGCCACTGCCTCTGCCACTCAGCATACCAACTTAGAGGTTCATTATGGTGAACACAAATGTAGATACTTAAATATAACGTGTATATATTGTGTAATAACAGCAAAAGGAGTGTTGGGAGAAGCCATTTTGGTGAGGGAGGTGGCAACATCTGCATGATTTGCCATGCTGGATAGGGGTGGCCACTATACCAGCTTAGATGAAGAGTTATGGTGAACAGAACATGTAGATACTTATTTATAACATCTATATATAGCGAATAAAAGCAAAAACATTATGGTGGGAGGAGGATGTGGGTGAGTGAGGAGTCATTGCGGGAGTGAGTGGCAGCGAGATGCTGATTGGCAAATGTGGTGGCCACACCTCTTTGCTTTTTGTCTCGCATTATCAACTTGGTGGTTCGTTATGGTGAACAAAACATACAGATATTTATATATAACCTGTATATATAGTGTAATAACCAACAAAGTATTTGTTTATTGTTTTATGAACACAATAATTGAATCAATAATATGCACACCATAATTTTGAGTACAGCGATGATTCACACATTTTATTATACAGTATAAATATATCATAAACACTATTGAATAATATTACAGCAAAAAACGAAGAAAAATCAGACATTGAAATAGTTAGATAATTATAGCTTTGTGGCCACTCCTGCTTGACAGCTGGGGCTAAGCAGACCGCCTCAGACGCATGTTGAGTCAGCGCCTCTTCTTTGCCAGACATCTCCGCCCTATAGCGGCCAAAATATGCCACTTACTATTTTTTTATTATATTTCCGGTGATCATGGAACACAAATTAACAGGTTAAGATTTTTTTTTGTTATGAGCCTGTGGGTGACAAAGATCAATTAGCCCTTAGCAACACAAGGGATAAGGATTGGTCAGTCCTGGTGATCCAGGATGGCATGTGTTTGAATCCTGGCTGGGTATAGACTACATACAAGAATACATACAGTATGTATTTTAGCAAAAACAAGTGATGTAAATACTAACCAGTAGACATAATGGTACTCGTGTACAGCATACAGCTCCAGTGTGAATCCCGTCAGTAGGTATTTAATCATTAACCTTAACGTATGGTAGAGAACCCATGTGCCCAGGTATGCTAAATGTGGTCTTGGTTGGTCACTCTTCAGTAAAACATTGTGCAGGTATGCATCCACTTTATCTGCCTGTACAAAATAATAATACCAGAGAAATACAATCAGTTATATAATACATACACTCTAATTTCTGAGTATTCTGTATAAGATCTAGCAGAAGCTGCCAAGCATTTAATTCAAATCTCCATGAACTCTTATACAGCAATCATAAAATAAGTATGGAAAAATTCAGTACATTATTTAAATTAGAAAGAAATCGTGTAAGGTAATTAAAAGTTACAATGATAAGCATATTTTTCATTGAAACAATCAGGTTAAGGGTCCCAGAGTCAAACTCAAGTATATTTTTATATTTTCTTTCTTTGCCTTAGAAACCCTAGATTACACAATGAAAACACAATAATGAAATGCATTAATGAGAAATCAGTAGGAACCATGAGAAGGATTTGAACCAGTACACTTGGTACTCCCAAGCACATGCCCATGACCACTACTGAATCTCAGGTTGCATTACTTTTTGCCCCCCCCCCCCCCTCCCAGGTTTTCTTCTGTTTTGTGTGCAACTTCCATGTGTTTGTGTGATGAGGATGGCAAACTTTGGTCAATAAGACATGACCTCTCAAAGACAGGAAAGCTGAAAATGAACCGCATTGAAGCAAAACATCTAAATGGGGATAGAAATGAAGACAATTTTTTTTTCTATGAAGTGTTAGGGACTAGAAAGCTAGTGAAATGGTACATAAAAACAAAGCAACAAAATCATTACAGGAAGTGGGAGTAAAAGAACAAAGGGAAGGGGAAAATGTTCCTGAAAATAGTATATACCAACATAGATGGAGTGAGATATAAAATATTGAAGCTGAAAGATATAATGCAGCTTAAGGTCCCAGATATTGTCGCATTAACAGACAAAACTTGAAAATATTTTAAACGAGGTCATATTCCTACAGGGCTACTTAGTTTGGAGACGTGACAGGAAAACTAGGAACTGGTGAGGAGTGGCTGTGCTGGTGAAAGAACATCTGAAGGTAAGAGTTAATACTTAAAAACCCTAGAGAAGTTGTCAATGACATTGCAGGTCTGGAATCAGGATGATAAACTGATAATTGTAAATGCCTACAGCCCACCAGCAAGTAACACATGGACAAAGGAAGAACTGGATGACAAACGAGAGGGCCTCATAATGGTCATAAGAGATTATAGTAAATGCAGATAAAGATAAATCATGAGTGTTGGTACTGAGGGACTTTAACTTCAAAGCAATAGACTGGGAGGCTTACGAAGCAAGAACGGAGGACATTTGGACTGGCAGATTTGTAAACCTCATTCTGGAGACCTTCATGAATCAACACGTCGAGCCGCCCACAAGAATGAGGAAAGGGGATGTTCTGTCAGTACTGGATCTAATATTCACCAGGAAAGAAGAAGAGATATTTGATATTTAGTATCTTTCTTCCTTGGGAAAGCATGATCATGTCCTGTTGGACATTACATATGCTTCGAGATATAATCTAGAAGAAAATGGGATATTGAAATACTGTAGTTGTTAAACTCAATTTCAAGAGAGGACACTATGGGGACCTTAGAAAATTTTTAAATGAGTATAATTGGACAGACTTGTTGCTAGGCAAGGAAGTAAATGAGATGTATGCCAAATTTTGCAAAATATATGATGAAGGCACGCAAACATTCATACCAAAACAGATGCAGACCTAGGAAACAGGATTGGTTTAACAAGTTGCGAGAGGCCCAGAGACCAAGACACAAAAATGGAATCAATACAGATAGAGGCCAAACCCCCAAACATACCATCGATACAAAGCTGCAAGAAACAACTACACGGCAGTGAGGAGAGAGGCAGAAAAAAAATTTGAAAATGGGATAGCTGACAAATGAAAAACAGAACAGGCCTATTCTATAAATATATAAACAACAAATTGCAGGTAAAGGAAGATATTCAGAGGTTGAAAATGGGAGAAAGACTCACGGAAAATTAAAAAGAAATATGTGAAACATTAAACGAAGAGTTACAAAGTGTGTTTGTACAAAATGAAATCTTCAGGGAACGAGACACAATAATAATTCCAGAGAACTAAGCTGGTATGGTGCATAGAAACATCATAGTGGCCACCAACACAACGTTCAGGTAACAACGCTACCTCACTGCCAAGATTCTTCCTCCCAGCATAATGTTTTTGCTGTTATTACACTATATGCACACGTTATATATATAAGTATCTGCATATTTTGTTCACCATAACTGTACAACTAAGCTGGTATGGTGTCCAAAAAATATAGTGGCCACTGTAAACTGCATAACAAGTGATACAACAGCTAACAGATGACAGCACCTCACTCGCGATATAATCTAGAAGAGAATGGGGACACAAACTGTTGATAAACTATTTGAAGAAAGGACACTATGGGGATCTTAGAAAATATTTAATTATTTTAATTGTACAGATTTGTTGCTTGGCAAGGAAGTAAATGAGAAGTATGCCAAATTTTGCGAAATATATGATGAAGGCACACAAACATTCATACCAAAACAGGGAAGCATGACCATAAAACAGGATTGGTTCAACAGAATTGTGAGAGGGCCAGAGAGGAAAAGACAAGAAAAAGGGTTCAATATCAGAAGAGGCCTAACCCACAAACATACTAGCACTACAAGAATCTGTGTATGTATTTCTTGCTTGCTTGTAGTGCTGTTATGTTTGAGGGTTATGTCTCTTTCTATATCGTACCCATTTTCTTGTCATTTCCTCTCTGGCCCTCTCATGATTTATGTTGAACCAATCCTGTTTACTGGTTCTGCATATAGCAATGGTAAAAATATAAACTAAATGACACTTTAAATACATGATGTAAATGTGTGTAAACAAAATGATAAACAGTACCTAGTGTTCTTGCTTGCCTTTCCACTAACTTACACAACCCCTGGAAATTACTGGAAATTTGTGCTAATCTTTATCTGGTTATCGTTATTTCTCAAGTGATATTTGGTTTTCCCAGTCGTTCAAATTATCTATTTTGAGTTTCATACTCCTGCTAAAAAATAATTTAGTCAATTAATTCCAGCTAAGATACTGGTTAAAAGAATTTACCTATAAATTAAACAATTCATAAATTACATTAGCAGAGCAACTAAACAATATACAATACTGTTTTAAAAAAAATCCTGGAGACTTACTTCATCCTGCAACATTGCAAATTCCTCCAAAAGATGAGCCACTTTATCTCGCTGACGTGCTCTGTTGTGTCCGCAGGTTTGAATAAGCTGTTCAAACGGTCTAACACACCGGTTGAAGAAAGAGTCAACATAATCTTTGGCCTGAAATGAAGAAATAATAAATCTCGACTACTGTCCTTTACACATGGTACATGATCACACACTGGTGTTGCTAATTTCAAAATAAGGCAATGAGGCATTTTCAAGATATGGAACAGAATATTAGCATAAAAAGTATACAAATCTCAAACTATAAGGTATCCTTGCACTACTGAGAATACCTTTGCAACAAATATAAATATTTCTAATGCTATACAGGTAGCATTGACAGAAGAGATCATAATGATTCAACTGTATAAATCTCTGGTGCATTTGGATTACTGTATTCAAGCATGGAGGCCTCCTTTTCAGGACATAGCTGCTCTGGGGAAAGTGCACAAGGTTCAACAAAACGCATTATAACTTATCAAAGTTGTATTAAATTATTGCGATACAAATGAACTAAACATTTATAATTACTGGTATCCAGAGAAGTAATCAAATACATATCTGAATTAACTTGAAAAATACAGTACAATCAACACTGGGTTTGTATTTTGTTATATTCGGGAAATATCAGGGTTGAATATTTTTATCAGATGATTATATGTAGTATTTTCTTTATGTTCTTATCCATTTAATTCACAGACCTGAACATTATTCATAACTGGAGCTTTTGGCAATAGTGCAGGAGGACAGATGAAGCTGCGAGCAGCTTCCCTTAATGCTTCTGCCATTGCTTGACCTCCCCACAGTTTGTCACCTCCAAGGTACAACACTTGGGCTAGCGATCTTGACAACACACATGGTCGACTTTCGGAAAAATACTCTATGAATTCCTGGAAAGATATTTAAAAAATATTACTTTGAATGGATATGAAAGACAGCTTTTTGAATAGAATCATTTGGCTATTAATTAAAATATTGAAAGCTGTGTCTATAGGATAGTATCACAGAAAATGCTTAGGCAATACCAGTTGGGTCACTATAGGTGATAGGGAGTCACAGGAGAACATTCAACTCAGAATGACCAACAGTCATTATGAATAATGACCTATTCATCAAAACTTAAAAGCCTTTCCAAACCCTCCTTTTATGTCACAGGTGACTTTGAAAAAAGTATTCTCGCTTACTGCTGTATCAATTGACTTGCCTGGCCAAATACAGGATACTGACTGCCACCATGTGACATCTAAACCAACCTTTGGATTCCTTTACCACTAAACATCTCATGTGCATTTAAGTGCAATTATTTAAGTACGATTCGCGTACAGTACACATAATTTACAAAAACAGCGACAGGGTGCTATATTACAGGCCTACAATGTAATAATTGTATTCCTTCTGCTGGATCATGAAGGAAGGACAAGTAATACTTATTAATTATAATAATTGTTGTAATTATTAATTAGTACTCTTCCTTCTGCTGGGTCATGAAGGAAGCCAGCCTCAGGTGAAAGGGGGCCGTGACAATCTGTCTGGAACCCCGTAGGTGCGGGGCCGGGACATCCACTTCCTGGGGCTCGTACAGCCTAAGCTCTGCTTTAGAAGGCTGGGGTCGTTCTTGCCCTTGCGAGGGTGGTTCTTCTCAAGTCCCAACCATGGCGGTCTCCGGGTTTGGATTCCCTGTGCCCTCTTGCTAACTTCGAGGTAAACTCTGGAGTTGGATTCCCTAGGGCAGTTCGTTGTTGCCTTCAACCTCATTCTGACAGTTCCTATGACGGCACTGGAACCAATCGTATTGGTGTTTGCCTTTTCATTGGAGACATGGCACCGTGAAGAGGAGGGGGGGAACCTGCTGCTTGGGTGACAGCTTCTTCCTCTGTATCAACCTACCCTGGCTTTGCGCCCTGGAGAGGCCACTCCAGACCGACAACCAGAGCGCAACTTCATAGTTTCCCGAGGCTGATGGATGCCTACTACTACTACAATGCAATAAGTAAACCTATTGCAAGAAAATCTGTTCCTGGCACAGCTCAATAGATGTGTTTTGCAACCCACTCCTTTACTGCGATTATATCTGGGAATATCATCCAGACACGGATTTAAGCACTGAAAAATAACAAATTGTGATTTCATGATAACCACAAGCCCCTAGTACATGATATCCGCATCAACAGCAATTAATTACAAAACAATATCATCACTGGTATAAACTGGGTAATAATAATGAAACCTGGCAAATAATGACGACTGCAGTGGTTAAGGAGATCAACAAAAGATGACAACAACATAGTTTAAATGTTTCCCACTCAACACCAAGCATAAAGACTACAAATATTAATTGCTTGAAAATTGAAAAGGGTAATTTAGAACTGGAAAACACTTAAACTATTAAGTGGTATGAAATGAGTGTTTTGGTAGGAAGGGGAAGAAGGGGTGGGGGTAAAGTGACAAGATAAGGAACCTAAAGTGAGGTTATCTTGAGATGATTTCGGGGCTTTAGTGTTCCCGCGGCCCGGTCCTCGACCAGGCCTCTACCCCCAGGAAGCCGCCCGTGACAGCTGACTAACTCCCAGGTACCTATTTACTGCTAGGTAACAGGGGCATCAGGGTGAAAGAAACTCTGCCCATTGTTTCTTGCTGGCACCCGGGACCACAGGATCATGCGTCCAGTGTTCTGTTCGCTCAGCCACCGGCAACCTAAGTGGCATCTGGATTACCTCCTAATAATGCTGAAGTTTGTGTGTTGGGTGTTCACTTTGAGTTTAAGTTATGCTTACTTGGGGTACTATGTTCAACATGTCTACCACCTATTAAATGAGGAATACTCTTTAATAATTTGTTTTTAAACTTTATAAACAAAGGCTTCTACAAACTAAAATTAACAAATTAACCAACCAGAGCAGAATGAAAGCTTGCACAGTGTGTAATTTTTGTGATGTGACGAAGACGTCCAACCATTTCTTCAAGGTAATTCATTGCTTCCTTACGTGTTCGCAGTCTGGTATAGCGTGGGAATGTTGGAGGCAAGAGACGCTGATTGACTAGAGGTTCAAACCCCATTATCACTGGATAGTCCACTGTGAAACAAAATCTGAATTAAACCCAATGAAGTTTGTAATATTCTTTTTATTGATTAAGTTTAAAAAACCAGCTTTGAATGAAATGCAATACCAATTTCTGGGCGAGCCCTGGAGGCTCACTGAAGCTATCAAACACTGATCAGAGCCATAGTTGCAGAATTCTAGTAGCCTACCGGGAACCATGAGCCAGAACCTGGCTTCCTTGGAGAGGCATAGCCTATGAACACTTTACATTTAAAGTTAATACTCAGAGAGTAATCACATTAACGTGATGCATTAATGAGAAATTCCGGGGCCGTGACGAGGATTCAAACCTATGTATTCCGGGGCCGTGATGAGGATTCAAACCTATGTGCTGGGTATTCACAGACACATGCCCTAGACAATCAGGCCATAACATGGTGTGGATTGTAAAAGGATTGTAACCTGGAGTTCTACTGAACACAAGAGGACGAGGATTGTCTGGGGCATGTGCCTGGGAATATCCAGTGCATAGGTTCGAATCCTCATCACGGCTTCTTCAGTTTTCTTTAAAGTTAATCATAATTGCCATCAACCGGGGAAGACGTCCAAAATGATAGGCAAACCAAAACATACAACTGCATGGTTAAAAACGAGACCGCAGCCCCAAAATTGAAAAAAAAAAAAAAAAAACTCCAGCAACAATGAAAAAACCACCTAAATTTTGTGAAACCAGCACACACACTAGTTTGCCCCCACCTTCCCCCTCGTTTGGGGGAAGGAGGGTGGTGTACTGGGTCAGTTGCCCCGCACTACAGTCAGTTCTATGAAAGTGAAACTTAACAATGCTCTGGGGAAAGCAGGATGTCTGGGAGCCTCGATGGCTCACCCAGAAATTGGAGTTTCATTACAATTCAATGCTAATTTTCTGGGAGGGGGCTCCATCAGCTCCCTGAAGCCAACTACCCATGGAGAAGGACAATAAAGGGCACTTGCCAGGGAGGAGACAGCATCGCAGGTATCAACTTGAAGAAACAGTCAACCGGGACACGTGACCCAAGGCAGCAAAAGCCGCTGAGGACTAGGAACGGTCACAAGATACCGGGTCACCAAGACCCCATTCGACCTTCAAAACCCTCTGCACAAAAATCAGCCCAAGACATATTAGAGCGGTAGCCACCTGAAACCTTGGAACATCAACAGAGGAACAGGTAAGACAGAGCACATGGGGGGAAACAAGACCCACATGACTCGGGGTCAAAAACGTCACCAACCCAACAAGTAGCATGGAGGAGGCAGAACATATTAACATCACCAAGTGGCACAAAAGAGGTATCCATAGTACAACTGAGCCCATAGGTGTTTTCCAGGTCCTGTAGGATAAATGAGCCCTGCAGGAAGCCCAGGCACTGGGAATGCTATGCCAGTAATTTGTGAAGTAACAGGCAACCCTGGAGAGAAAATAATCCATGGTCTCATCTTAATAAATATCTTAATGGAGTTTCCCCAGAGTGGACTCCCCTTCATGGGCATCTCAGGATGTCCATCTAACAAGTCCCAGCCTGTGACATATTAATGCTATGACTCAAATCTCATAGTATTAGTTATAATTTAACAAAGTTGCCCAAGTTAATACTATGGAAGTTATTAAAACCAACAAACATATTTGTGTATCATCCCCGATTAAATTAAATAAATAAAATTTACCCCAAATGCTCACTAGGGCAGATGGGAGGGAGACACCATGTTTGCACCTATCAACAAGACGCCACAACACCCTGGCTGCTGTGCATCACGTGTCCGAGTATTTTTTTAAATTTCAGGAACTGTTAGCTTTAGTTCTTTCAGAAGTAACCAGTAAAGTTCCAAAGACTAAACAAGCTAATTAATCAGTGCCATAACATCCTATAACCATTAACAATGCTGTAAATTGCACCAGCTGAGCCGAACGCCACATGTAATGGCCCAGTAACTACAAAATACTGTGCTCATTCCTCCATAACAAACATAGGGTCGGCTAAAGACGTCAACCCGAGCACCCGGGATTCTATTACCAAGTACAGTATAGGTATGACAGTTTGGCATTGTTAAAATTTACAGCATTTCACTTTATGTGCCCATGTCATTAACCGTTTTCCTTAGATTTCAATTAAGCAGTGAGGTCATTACCCCAAACAAGCAAGTTATAAACCCTTTACATTAAATTATTGATGTGATATTGAACTGGATTACAACTACTGTATTTGGAAATGGTTACAATAAATTATATTTATGATTACAGAAGTTTCTGATTATTAGGCTAGGCTATAATTTTACTACTGGTTGTGGATTAGATAGCGTGCACTGAGACAAATCAGTGTTTTCGCTGTAATAACCTAATTGTTTCATTATAAAAAAATGTGGAACTCCTCGGAGATATCCAAGGACAGTGACTTGATACTACAAACAGTGACTTTTTCCCAACCTGCATGAGGGAGTCTATGCTGGGAAGATCAGATATGTTTTTACATTTCATTTGTTTACAATAAATTTCTAATGTTATAAACTATGAAGTCAATGTCAATGTCAATGAAGTCTTAATTTGCTGACCGAGCACCAGGCTGCCAAACCCTCCTACCCATATTAAATTTTTTTTATCTTAGCTGTACACTATTAATGCCAGTATACATTTATTTTGTGTTAAGCATACAGTATTATTATACATTATTAATCATTAACATGTTTTATCGCTTCCTGTTTATTCCCGGCGCCGCTCTGAGGGTCCAGGTTCTGGCTCGTGGTCCCCATTAGGCAAAGGACTGATGTGACCGACGACCCCAAACTAATAAAGCCTTATATCAGTTCAGATAGCATCAGCGAGCCGACGGAGCTCCCCACAGAAAATCCTGTTTCGAGACAAGAAACAGGCTGGAAACCCACTGAAAGAGACTAGGTCATTTCACCACACCTGAAGCCACCCACTCCGTGATTATCAGACAAAAGCAAGGAGAGGGGCTTGCCCCATAAGCCCTGAACGCCCTAAAGTTGGGACCAACCAACTTCACCTCAGGCCGCAAGAAACGACTCGAAAAGCCCATAGATCGTGAGACCAAGAGATGACCGAATTCACTCAATGACATTTGTTTTTAACTTTTAGGTCTTTATTAGATCAGAAAAATTGACAAGTGGGACCTTTGAGGAAATAATATGCCCCCAGATGCTTTTCAAACTGCCTTACATAATCTTACTGCCTAGAAATTTTAATTTCATCAATATAAAATGAATCCTGCGAGTTATAGATACCTACAGCACATTTACCAGAATTGAATGTAAGGTTGTATTCTGCACTATATCTTTCATATATTAGTATCAAGGTTTCCATAGCATCTTTGGTTGATGCGAGTAGAATTAAATCATCAGCTTAACAGAAAACATAGTCCTTAACACTGCCTATGTGATAACCAACTCAACTGGCTAATACATTTAAAGCAAATAATTTGTACTGACAATATTCAATGCCTAATAAAGTAAAGGTACTTAAATAAACGACCGAGTTACCTTTATTTCCTTCTTCATCCTTAGGTTGCTTGGGTCTCAAACCCCGACCGATGGTGTTCTGCATAATACACACCAATTCGTTACAAGATGCTAAACACCTCTCTGCCTCTGGGATAGACACCTGTTCTCTTCTCATGATAGCTGCTAGGGCAGCATAAAACAGCCGCATGAAGCGAATCCTGGAGAAAAGAGCCACTGCGTCCTCATGCTGTAGACAAAATTTAGAGCCTAAGAGTAAATATAATGAAGATGTGTGTAAAATTAAACATGATGACAATTATCCAAAATACAAGTATGTTGTCTGTGGTACTGTACAAACATTTTTGCAAATGATCACTTTTGGACTTTCGCTGTGAAGTCAGTTAATCCGGAAAACGGGCTCATCCAGCAAGGGGTCCTTCCCATATAGTTCAGAATAGCGAATTTCTACAGTATAATTAGGATAATAGAGCTATTAAAACACCGGTTTTAGAAATGATTTATTAATCTGAAACTTTCAAAGTTATGGGTCACTGAACTATGGACGACACAGACGAAGAACAACCAAGCGAGGTTTACAATACTGTACAGTATTCCCTTATCTGTCTACCCTCACTCATTTTGTTTCATCACAGAAAATATGTCTATGAAGAAGATTTCAACTCGTGTAGCTTGCTAATAATTATAATAATAATATAATTAATTAATAATTATCACTCTTCCTTCTGCTTGGTCTTGAAGGAAGCCGGCCTCGGGTGAAAGGGGGCTGTGACGATCTCTGTCTGGCTGTGATGTACTACGTATTTAAGTACATGGTGTTAAAGTGTTAAAATTAAAGTTGCAGTAATTTTAGTGTACAATAGTTTTTATAAACTGTATTGTAGTACTCAACATACAGTAGAACTACATAATTAATACAATGCTAACTGCATAATACAATACTGTACATATTTACTGTACTGTATTCACAACTGAGAATTCAACATGGATATTCAATACTTTAACAATAAGGTAAATAAAACTATAACTATTTTTTTTAGTAGAGTAGAAATATATAGGTACATGTACTGTACAGTATATAATATGATAATGCATTTTTGTTGTGTATAAGAAAAGAAAGACACTGAGGCAAGCACCTCCTGGAGGCATCACCTCTTGCAACGAATCCACCACCACAACGAACCGAGGTTGTTTCCATTTGGTTCGCCAAAACGAGGTTGCACTGTACTGTGCAGTGAGAATCACATGTAAGAAGTCATAACTAACCTTGACTAACCTGTTTTTGCATTTTCGGGTCCCATGGTTCACCTTGGCGGTTCCTTGAAGCTTTCACTGCTCTTTGTAGTTCCTCTTCAACTTCCCTCATCATGCCTCCTGCCCTCACTTCGGAAACTTCAGAACAAACACCATACCCATATAAAGCTGGTTGGAAATCTTCTTCTTCAAATACACCAGCACTGAAAGAGGAATTTCATTACATTCAATGCTTTTCGTGCACAGACAGACCAGCATTGTTTATGATAAGCCACATTTAGAGGATAAAAGTTTTATTTCAAGCAAAAGAGGAAATTCTAAATAATACTGAAAATGAAGCAGCAGCAACTGGAGGAAATAAAGGCATTTTGAATGGATATCCATTGATAACTACAAATGTAATACATGTGGTTACATACCTATGAACAATATTATTTATGATGGCAATAAGCTTGAGAGTTTGTATGGAAAATGCTCTTAGTGCACGGTCTTCAATACTAAGTGGCTTGTGGAGATACAGGCAGGTTAATATTGTCTGTGCAGCAGAGTGACCCTCTAGCCAGGTTACCAAGCATGCCAGCATGGAGTCCATTATGCCAACTAATTCCTCCATTGTTAGGTTATTAAGTTTTAAAGCTCCAGCCTGTTAGAGAAATGTAAAATTTATCAATTATTAAATATAAAAAATGGTAATGCAAACCACAAAAGACAATTCTTAAGGTAATTTTTAAAATCTTGATATAAATACTGTAATGCTTAAAAAAAAAAAAAAAAAAAAAAAAAAGTACAGGTATGCCAAATATTTGACTGGTATTTAACTAGAGGTGATGTGCAGTAAGCAATTGCATCTCATTACACTCCATGAAAATAATAAATTGCAGGAAAAAGCAAAACATTACTGCAAGAATAAAGTTTTCAAAGATGGCAGAAAAAGTATTTATCTACTGTCATTTTTAAACATCATCTTTAGATGATCAGAAATACTAGTTACATAATGGTATGGGAGCAAAATAAATTAAGTTAAAAACCAGTGTTTTTAATATACAAAGCTTTATCTTTAATGGAAGAATGATTTAAAATTAATAAATTAATTTCACCAATTTAAAATACTAACCTTAACAGCCTGGTCAAAATTTAGCACTTTTTTGCCCCTGTTACACATCATACCAGCATCCATTTTGGGGTCCATCATTTCTATTGCAGACATAGCTTCAAAGAGCCCAAAAATGTCATCATGCAACAGCTCACCCAACTGAAGGTCTAAAACAAAAAAAATATTATTAATGCTTTCTCTACAGGAGCAATGCTGCATCATATTTTACATATACAATGGAGATATTGAACTTGCATGCCAATATCAAATAACAATAGCTACTTTATTTTAGGAGAGGCACTTTACACCTTGCCTATGAAACAGCTGAACAACTACTGTGGATGTTTTTAAAGGTGTTGTGGAAAGCACTATGAAAGGTCAGGTCTCACTCAGGAAACTATCTGACCTTTTTTCTATAAAAATATTCCAATGTTTTATACAGAGGCATCCGGAAAGGCAACCAACCTAGCGCATTTCAGCAACCGAAACCTTGCATGCAATGCCGAACCGCCTGCACCTGAATATCAGAATCAATGGACTAGGTGAATTGGAGCACCAGCAAGGAACACCAGTCACAGGACTCTGGTCAAAGGTGTCATTGACCCAACAGGAAGCATGACAGAAGAAAAATCAGTGAATGTCACCCTGAAACAAGGTAGGCAAGAACTATCTATTGACTGATGCCACAGTCTAATACATTACACATCAGCCCGGAAAGCTTCGGGGAGCCAGAGGGGGCTATCCACAGAAATACAGATAAAGCAGTATAAAAATGAAACAAACACAAACCCCTGCAAGACTGAGTTCAAAAGGATAGCCAAAACTTATTTGAAATTGATGCCAGGAAGGATCGAAGGGTACGAGGAGTTCCAACCTACTTTGCATCATGTGTATGACTAGTTGGTGAGAGCCCTGGGCTACCAAATGCTGGTGCAACTAGCAGTTGGAACGAGTTATAGTTAATGAGTGTGTTCATAGTTGTCCGGGTTTCAATGTTTCTCCGTGCAGTGGCCTGTTTTGGGGTTGCTCTACTTTTCTGGTGACTTTCACTCTTGGCCTGGGATGATCTAATATTTCTAGAATCTCTTGCCTCTATTAAATACACCAGATTCTGCTTCTGGTCTGACTCACAAGGGCCTTGTGGGGTATGTTGGGCTTGGAGATAACCTGGCTGCCAGTTTTGGGAGCCACCGTGGGCAGTTCTCCCAGAAGACACCATGTATGCCCTTCAGCATGGAAAAAATAATCATTCATCACTTCAGTTAGATGCACCAGCGAGAGATTTGCATGTCTAGTTGTGAAATTCTTACCTACATGAAAGAATATAAAAATAAAATACCTGTATATGGTCTGCAATGCTACTTCTCTACCAAACAAGGGTATGTAGACAGCAGGTATTAAACACCACAAGTCAAATGAAGTCTCCATAAAGACATGCCCTGGTTTTCCAAAACAAAAACACACAGATTAAGCCCCATAACCCCAAACAAAAAAGGAGCAAAAACTAGAATCCAGTTGACCAAATCAACAAAATCTTAGGTCCCTCCACTCAACCTGGATGTAAAACTATGCCAGTCTAACTCAAATATAAGCAACTGGTGGCTAACCTGCAAATACCTACTTGAGCAGTGTTCTGACTATTCACTTAGTATGAAGCCATGTACAGCTCCCCAAATCCTCTATAAACTTATATACTATACCTAGAATTAGTAACATCCTTAAAGATCTACAAATAGTGAATATCAATGTCAAGTGTTTAAAGTTTAAAATACAATAGGCTATGAAAAATTAAACATTTGTTAAGGACTTTTCCATGCTGGTCTTCCTAAATCAAAAGTCTTGTCATGGGAAAAAGTAAGTGGAAAAAGTAGGTTTAAATACAGGTACCAATCTTTACTAAAGCCATTAAGCAATAGTTTAAAATGTATACCATATGAAGGAGGATCAACATTTAATACAAATTACTTTAGTTTACTGACTTACCTTTCGTAGCATGGAAGAAATCTGAAGTAATATTCACCCAGTTATATGTCACTTCTGGTCTAGGTGGCATGGTGCTGCAAATAAATGTGATACATACAGTATTAACATCAATCCTGTCAATGAGATAATAAAACACTTCTGAACTACAAAAAGTTTTGTCAGGCTATACAGCTGAATCGCAATATTACGTTATAAGCTTTCTGCTTCAATGTGGTAAAATAAGAGAATAAAACACACAAATAAATCACACTAATGTGATATGTATATATCAATGAGAAAATCAAATGGAGCTCTGAGGTGACTCGAACCCACGACCAAGAGAATCCCAGCACTGACGCTAACCACTGGGCCACCCTGACTGGAAAAATTTCATACTAGATTTTTACTGAAATTACAAGTCTGGAGGCCTTTCCTGAAGCCAATCCAAGTTTTATGTATGATCCCAAAGTACCCAGGGATGTAGGCAACGTAATTCATCCAGAGTGGTTCAGTGGTTAGTGGATTATAGTGGCCTGGATTATAACAGTCTGCCATTCCTGGATGTATTAATAACAAAAATGGCAGCATCTCTAAGCACCAGCATATATACCAAGCCTACAAACATAGGATTATGCTTAAACAATAGGAGCGAGTGCCCCCCAAGGGTATAAAGTCGGTGTTCTCAACACAAATTCACTGAGCCCTTACCCACTGCTTTGAATGGAGTACCATGAATAAGGAGTTTGTAAGGATAACAAGTGTTGGTGAACAATGAATAGAGTAACCATGAGATAAACACTACTATAAGATGACACTTTGAGAGGTGGAAAAATCCTGAACAAAGAGCAGAAACAACAACACCTCCAATAAAATTATATTACAAATCCACCATGCATAGTGAACATAATAAAGAAAGAATAATAGTGTGTATGAATTTGTGTAATTACCCAAGAGTAGTTACTGGATGAGAGCTACGCTTGTGGTGTCCCATCTTCCCAGTACTTTGTCATATAACACTGTGAAACTAATGACAGTTTTGGCCTCCTCCACCTTCTTATTTAACTTGCTCCAACCATCTACCACTCTGTATGCAAAAGAAAATGTTCTAATATTTTTTCGGCACCTTTGTTTCCTTAGCTTGATGTTTACTATCCAAAACCACCCCAGGTCTCATTATTCTTTATTAGAGTTCTTTCATTTCTTTACACAATTTGTAAGTTGTGTGTGGTCTATTTTCCCCGTTTCCACATTCCATAACAAGGCATTTATTAACATTGAATTCCATTTGCCACTTGATGTTCCAAACACTTATTTTACCTAGATCAATTTGAAGGGCATTGCAATTGCCTGCATCTCCTATCCTCCCCAGTATCTTAGCATCATCTGCAAACATGTTCATACACTTCTGGCTTCCATTTGTTAGATCGTTAATGGAGACACTGAACATTACTGGTGCAAGAACTGAACCCTGTGGTACTCCGCTAGCCAAATACATTGTCGCTGATTACCGCCCTCATCTGTCTGTCAGAAAATTTTTCACTGTATCAGAAGTCTCCCTGTCACCTCTTCAGCATGTTCCAGTTTCCAGAATGGCCTCTTGTGCAAAACTGTCACATGCCTTTTTTAGGTTCAGATAAACACAGACAAGGTCTGACACCTAGGGATGCATTTTGCAAGATCACTCCTTACATTCTCAAAGACCAATTTACCATACTGTTTTAGATTTAGCTACTCATAGCGAAATGTCTGTATAACATGGGCTATAGTGGATGAAACAAGTGGGTGAACACTGTAACAGGGGATATTGATGGGATATCAATATCCCTATCAATAAATAGAACCCCTATCAATATCCCCTATTTTATGCCATTCATCCACTTGTTCTGTACAACCACACCCAAAGAGAATATAAGCCTTTGATACTATTAATCACAACTACCTCTTACTTAAACTCCAGCATTATGGAATCCGAGGCCTTGCCCTGGACTATATCTGATCCTATCTTAGTGACAGACACCAATGTGTAACCATCAATGATACAACCTCTTCCACTCTACCAATAACTGTTGGAGTGCCACAGGGCAGCATCTTGGGACCTCTTCTATTTCTTATATATATCAATGATCTGCCTAATGTCTCTAATATTCTTAAACCTATATTGTTTGCTGATGATACTACCCTCATCTATTCAGACCCCAACCCACATACACTAAATAATGTTGTGAATAATGAATTAAAAAAAGTCCACTTATGGATGTCAACTAACAAACTAACACTAAACACAGAAAAGACCTACTTCATCTTATTTGGAAGCAAATCATCGAATGCAATTCAGCTACAGATAGACAACATTAACATCAGTAATAAAAATAATTGAAAGTTTCTTGGCCTATTCTTAGACAAGAGACTCAACTTCAGCACCCACATTCAACGCATAACTAAAAGAGTCTCTAAAACAGTTGGTATACTCTCCAAAATAAGATATTATGTTCCTAACTCTGCTCTCCTCTCACTATATTATGCACTAATCTATCCCTATCTTAATTATGGTATCTGTGCATGGGGTCTACCACTGCAAACCACCTTAAGCCCATCAACACCCAGCAAAAATCTACTATCAGAATAATAACAAACTCTGCTTTCAGACAAACACTCAGCTCCCTTATTTAAATCCCTTAACTTGCTAAATATTAACTCCCTCCACACATTCTCTTGTGTCAACTACATTTACAAAACCCTGTTCTTAAATGCAAACCATGCTCTGAAACTCTCCCTGGACAGATGTAATAGGACCCATTATCACCACACCAGAAATAAATATCTCTTTGATATCCCCAGGGTCAAACTTAATCTGTGTAAACACTATGCAAATTAAGGGACCCAGTCTATGGAACTCACTCCCTAGTGAATTGAAAAGCTGTCAAACTTTTGCCTCATTCAAAAGCAAAAACAAAAAGTACCCAATTTCATCTTCGTAGTTTCCTACACTGAGCTTTAAATTTGCTCTATCTAGTGTTACCCAATCTCCCAATCTTTATGTATTTAATCCAAACAACTTTATCATTGTGGTCATTGCTGTCTTCTTTTATGTGCTAGCCATTTGCTGTATTGTGCCTACTAATTTTTGTTAAACTACCATTCAAGTGTCATTGCAATCAATCTGAGCTACCTATGTGCTTTAATATACCTACAATTTTCTATCATCTTTTATTTTTTCTTGCTATGTAACTTATCATTTTTTTAATTTTGCCAGTATTTACATACTTAAAATTTTCTTAGATTAAGGACCTGCCCGAAATGCTGTGCGTACTAGTGGCTTTACAAGAATGTAATTACTATGCTATGTATCCTCACAATCCCAATGTACCTTCTTGTATATATATAAATAAATAAATAAAATAAAAGCCTGAGCTGCAGGTAGGCGTGTGAGCTACCAGGGGGAGCATGTAAGCTATAATGTGGGCATTTGTGCTACCACGAGAAAATGTGAGCTACCAGGAGGGCGTGTGAGCTACCAGGAGGGCGTGTGAGCTGCCAGGAGAGTGGTGAGCTCACGTGTTAGCTACTATGTAGGCATGAGAGGTACCATGAGGACTTGCGAACCACCAATTAGGCGTCCCTCCTTTGCTACTGACGACTACATAACTCACCACACTAATACACAACTCCCCTCCCCTTTGTGTCTCCACTTAATACGTTTAAAGTGTACCTGATGCTGGGCGTAAAATCATTCCTGTCGAGTGAGGTGTCTGTGCTACCAGCTGCCATCTTCCGTGTTTACATCTGACCAGACCACAGCTTCTCTGCCTGCTGCCCCGCCTACGCTTCCTCGCACGCGGCTTCCACGCCGTATTAGTATCGTATTTTACTGTTCCTGGCTTTCAAGATACCAAAATATTGTGCACAACTGCAAATGAAACCTTATTAGAGGTTGATAACTATACTAATTTTTCAATCAATATTTTGTGATATTATAACATATACTTGAAATGAAATAGTTTAATGTTTCAGAGACTTCGAACGTCGGCCCCGATGCTTCGCTTCATAAAACCTCCCTAGACAGTATTCACCTAGTTATGTTTTTTTTTGGAGGGGGAAGTGGGGGATTGAGCTCTGCTCTTTCGGCCCGCCTTTCAACTGTCAATCATTCAACTGTTACTAACTAATTTTTTCACACACACACACACACAAAATATAAAATACTCAGGGGAATTGACAAAGTGGAAATAGATGAAATGTTCACACGTAATAATAACAGAACGAGGGGACATGGGTGGAAACTGGAAACTCAGATGAGTCAGAGATGTTAGGAAGTTTTCTTTTAGCGTGAGAGTAGTGGAAAAATGGAATGCACTTGGGGAACAGGTTGTGGAAGCAAATACTATTCATACTTTTAAAACTAGGTATGATAGGGAAATGGGACAGGAGTCATTGCTGTAAACAACCGATAGCTGGAAAGGCGGGATCCAAGAGTCAATGCTCGATCTTGCAAGCACAAATAGGTGAGTACACACACACACACAAACATAGATGGAATTACAAATTTATTTATTTATTTATTTATATACAAGAAGGTACATTGGGTTTGTGAGAATACATAGCATAGTATTTACAATCTTGTAAAGCCACTAGTACGCGCAGCGTTTCGGGCAGGTCCTTAATCTAACGGATAATTTTAAGTAGGTAAATTCTAGCAGAATTAATAAAATGATAAATACATTGCAAGAAAAAAATGAGATGAGAGAGATTAGTAAGTATATTAAAGCACATTGGTATATTAAAGCTCTGATTACATTGACAGCTTTATTGGTAATTTAAACAAGATTAATAGACACCATACAGCAGATTGATAGCATATATAAGAAGACAGCAATGATCACAATGGTAAAGATGTTCGGATTGGGTACATAAAGATTGGGAGATTAGGTAGCAATAGATATAGTGCAATTTTAAAGCAAAATGCAAAAAACTATGAAGATGAAATTAGATACTTTTTAGTATTGTTTTTGAATGACGCAAAAGTTGGACAGCTTTTCAATTCAATAGGGAGCGAGTTCCATAGACTGGGTCCCTTTATTTGCATAGAGTGTTTACACAGATTAAGTTTGACTCTGGGGATATCAAAGAGATATTTACTTCTGGTGTGGTGATAATGGGTCCTATTACATCTTTCCAGGGAGAGTTTCAGAGCAGGATTTGCATTTAAGAACAGGGTTTTGTAAATGTAGTTGACAAGAGAATTTGTGGAGCGAGATTATGTTTAGCATGTTTAGGGAGTTAAACAAGGGGGCTGAGTGTTGTCTGAAAGCAGAATTTGTTATTATTCTGATAGATTTTTGCTGGGTGATGATGGACTTGGTGGTTTGCAGTGCAGTTTGCAAATAAAGCAAATGAACTTGGAGAATGGGTACTAGAGGAAAACCCAGAGATAATAGCACTCACAGAAACAAAGCTAACGAAAACCATAACAAATGCAGTGCTCCCACAGGAATATTATGTTATGAGGAAAGAGAGAGAAGGAAGAGGCGGTGGTGGTGTAGCTCTGCTGGTAAGAAAGGGCTGGGACTTTGAGGAGATGGTTATTCAGGGCTGTGAGGGTTTCAGTGACTACATAGCAGGTACATAACAACTGGAGGACAAAAAATTATAGTCGTAGTCATATATAATCTACCATCAAATTGGTATTTGGGAATGAAATGCAGTCATTCATTATATAATTACTTTACAAATGTTAATATTATTTTGGGTTAAGTTATGGTGCAAATTAATTACACAAAGAAACCTTATAAGGTTATCATAAAGCAGCCCACGTGTAAGATAGTACTTATAGTAACGATGAGGACCATCGTACATATAGACGTAAAAGGCTATTAGAAAGTAGTGATTGGTACTATTGAATTTGGACAAACTGGAAACGTTTTTGAACTAATGTTGCAAAGAAAACCTAACCTTCCTAGGCCTGATGAACGCTATCAGAGGCCTAATATAGTACATATATATATACTGTACTAGACAAAAGAAATATTTATGTTGGCTTTTTAGCTTTATTTTTCGGACTATTAATTTAAGTAAAAAGTACCAAATTCTACTATCTAATTGTCCATTACGTCTATGTATGTACGAGGATCCATACAGCTACAAAAAGTACTATTAATCGGGAGGATGGGTTGCCTAAAGTAGTTCAAAAGATTGATAGGACTTGCTACTAATATTTTGTTATATAAACAATTGGCAATTAATAATAGGCATTAATTATATTTTTTTTATTGAGAAACTATTCCTCTTTATAAATTATATTAAAAATGGATGTAATGGTCCAGATGTCCGCACGGCCTGTGGCTCCTTCCTGGCCTGCTGCCTTCTGATAGTCTTTGTTAAACACGGTACCTTGGGGAGCAGGCTCGTGGGAGCGGCGGCCCCACCACCACCTTCCCTCCGGTGTGTAGCCTGTCTTTCTCCCACTGATCACCACCACTCATCACCCACATACAGCACTGATAATCACCTATCCTCATCCACCCACATACATAAAGCACTGATATTCACCCATCGTCATATCTTGGGTGGCTTAATCTTTATCAATCGCCCATCGTCACCCACATAAAGCACTGATACTCACCCACACACCACACCTCGTAGACGCTTCGTCGTAGTAGAGGATTGTGGGCTGGGAAACTCAAGTTTTTTATATGAGATTAGGAGGGATAAACAGTCTACATCGAAGTTGAAAAGTGCATACGAGTGAATGAATATCTGGTTAACCGATAGAAACCATAAGGAAGTGAAGAAAGAACGCGGAAATAGTGTATTTGAAAATAAGTCTCCGTGAATGTATTTTGTATGCAGTCTCCGTGGTGTAGTGGTAAGACACTCGCCTGGCGTTCCGCGAGCGCTATGTCATGGGTTCGTATCCTGGCCGGGGAGGATTTACTGGGCGCAATTCCTTAACTGTAGCCTCTGTTTAACGCAACAGTAAAATGTGTACTTGGATGAAAAAACGATTCTTCGCGGCAGGGGATCGTATTCCAGGGATCATAGGATTAAGGACTTGCCCGAAACGCTACGCGTACTAGTGGCTGTACAAGAATGTAACAACTCTTGTATATATCTCAAAAAAAAAAAAATAAAATAAAAAAAAAAAGTGTTGTACACCATTGTAAAGTAGTGGAATAGCGGGAGCTGACTGACCTCACCTGACCCCGTCTGCCAAGACCTCACCGTCATGGAGACGGTGTATGTATACACCATACAATGGCCTGGATTGTGAGAGGTTTTGAGACTACGTAATGATAATAGACTTACAAGATACGATGGATGGTGTCAAGCAAGATGGTGTCGAGATTGCGAAAGAGATCTAGGAGTTATCCCAGACCAAACCTGAATTGCATAATCCAAATTCTTGTTATGTCCCAAATGGGACCTAACAAGATCAAGATATAGCTGAAAAATAACACTAGACGTTTTATTACTAACGCTTCGATAGATAAATCCCAGTGCCCTATTTGCTTTATTTCGAACATTTATGCATTGATTTTTTTTTTTGGTTTTAAATTCTTACTAATGCTAATTTATAATAATTCACTTTAAATTCTTACTAATAATAATTTATAATGAATTATTATAAAGTATGACTAATAAGACTTTAAAGCAAAAAAAAAATGCATAAATGTTCGAAATAAGGCAAATAGAACACTGGGATTTATTTCTCAAAGCGTTAGTAATAAGAACATAGGACTCGAGGAAACTACAGAGGGGCCTATATTGGCCTATACGAGGCAGCTATTATTTATATCCACAAACTCATTCATATATATGTCTAACTTACGCTTGAAACAATCAAGGGATCCTACTTTTATTATGTAATGCGGTAATTGGTTCCACAAACCAACAACCCTGTTACCGAACCAGTATTTACCCAGATCTTTATTAAATCTAAACTTATCCAATTTATATCCTTGTTTCGTATACGGGAATTAAACCTCACGTCTCTAGAAGACAGAAGAGTTAGGAGACATGACCACCACCTACAAAATTCTCAGTGGAATTGACAGGGTGTACAAAAACTATTTAGCATGGGCGAAACACGAAAAAGGGGACACAGGTGGAAATTGAGTACCCAAATGAGCCACAGGGACATTAGAAAGATTTTTTTCAGTGTCAGGGTAGTTAACAATTGGAATGCACTAGGCAGTGATGAAGTGGAGGCTGACTCCATACACAGTTTCAAATGCAGATATGATAGTCCAATAGCCTCAGGAACGTGTACACCAGTTGAGTGACAGTTGAGAGGCGGGACCAAAGAGACGAAGTTCAACCCACGCAAGCACAACTAGTTGAGTGCATAACACTGATGCCCATCGACACCCGCTCACCCACGTAAAGCACTGATATTCACCCACGTAAACACTGATATTCACCCACGTAAAGCACTGATATTCACCCACGTAAAGCACTGATATTCACCCACGTAAACACTGATATTCACCCACGTAAAGCACTGATATTCACCCACGTAAAGCACTGATATTCACCCACGTAAAGCACTGATATTCACCCACGTAAAGCACCGATATTCACCCCACGTAAAGCACTGATATTCACCCCCCACGTAAAGCACCGATATTCACCCACGTAAAGCACCGATATTCACCCACAAACACTGATATTCACCCCACGTAAAGCACCGATATTCACCCACAAACACTGATATTCACCCACGTAAAGCACTGATATTCACCCCACGTAAAGCACCGATATTCACCCCACGTAAAGCACTGATATTCACCCCACGTAAAGCACTTTAGACTATACAGTTTACATAACACGGTAGATCAGGAGCTGTTTAGCTTCGGGAGCAGCGGCTGAAGTCAGTTTTAATGAGGGAGTTCGATGTGTGTTTCGAGTCCTCTGGAGTCGCAAGCAGACAAGAAGCCTTCCAGAATACTTTGGTCAAATTGATCTGGAATCCGCCCAGGTTGTGTATGGGCGCTTGACAGCCCAGGTTGTGTATGGGCACTTGACAGCCCAGGTTGTGTATGGGCGCTTGACCGGACTATACCGCGGCAGTTGTAGGTCATGTCAAAGGTGATCATCATCAGAATAGACTAAATAAATAAGGTCTTGGCGTGTGTCAGGTGTCGTCAGGTTCAGCTCTGTGTAGATGTGTGGCCTTAACTGGCAGGTGGCCTAATGTGTGTCTGTGTCAAAAGGCTGCTGCTAATACACGCGTGGTCTTGGCAGGTGAGTGGTCTTGGCAGGTGAATGGTCTTGGCAGGCAAGTGATTTAAATGGGTGTGATCTTGACAGATGCGTTGTCTAGAGTGGTATATGTGACCTTGACAACTCCGTGTTCTTGACAATTGTAAGGTGTTGACAATCGCTTTCTTGACAAATTTGTGGCATTGACCTATGTGGTGTTAACAGGCCTGGTCTTGATATACGCGTAGTCTTGACAGGTGTGGAGTTAGCAGATGTGGAGTTGACAGGTTCAGATGTCAAGCAATATGAAGCAGCTCTGACGGGTAGTAGTCGTAATCGGGCAAGTCGTCGCTGAAGTATCTGGAAAAAATAACAAACGGTTAACTATATCTATAAGAGTGTCTGTTTCTTTGTTTGTGTGTTTGTCTTTGTCCAAAGGGCTTGGGGCTAGCTTTACCTAACTTTGCAGGAGGGGAAAGGTCTGGGGTAGAGGACGGTCATAGGCTGGTCGGGGCCGGCCTAAGGTAAATGCTTTAAGAAATATTAGCATTTATAGAGACCACCGCGGCGGCGATTTTCAGTCAAATGTGAAATACTTTCTGTATTCCCGAGACTAATCAGAGTTTTAGTGTTTTGTAATAATAAATTGTCCGAGACTCGTGCAGTTGTTGCAGTACGTCTTAATAATAAAGTTTCTGAGAGAAAGATGCAAGGGAAGAGGAGGAGGAGGACGAGGGAAGAGGAGATGGGGGGGGGGAAAGAGTTCCGGGTGCAGCCTTCAATATATATGGAATATATCATAAATACCTATATGTATATACACCTATATATATAACTATATATATATACACACACACACACAATTATAATATATAAATATATATATGCGAACAAGCCTGAACGGTCTCCAGGCATATATGCAACTGATATATACCAATATATATATATATATATATACATATATATATATATACATATATATATATATATATATATATATATATAATCTAATTGAATATGACCGCATATTCTGTATTTACTATCTTCTGATGTAGGGCTTCTATCCCTCTAACTATTTTCCTAGCATCAGGGCTTATCTGAAAGATGAGTTCTCCAAAACTCATGTTCGTTATTTATAAGGTGAAGAAAAAAGTGAATTACTATAGAATGTATTACACTTATTTATACAATTTGCACAACGTTTCAGTATTATATTATATTATATCACATTATATTATATGAGAGAGCGAGAGAGACATGGAAATATCTGTCTGTCCGAGGCTGGGAGCTAGAGAGGAGAGGGCGAGGGAAGGGAGATGGGGTGAGAGGGAAGAGGGAGAAGGGGAAATGAAGTTGGGAGGGAAGAGGGAGAAGGGGAAATGAAGTTGGGAGGGAAGAGGGGGGGCAGAGAGCGGAAGTGAGAGGAAGGGGAGGGGGGTGATGAAGGGGCTGGAAGTGAATAGGGAAGATGGGACAAGAATGGCCTTCTCCCATCCCCCCCCCCAAGATGTTGAGGAAGAGGGGGGTGGGGTAGATACAAACTATCCCGGGCACCGCCGGGTATCCTTCTAGTCTAGTCTGGGCCTAGCCTGCCATCCTCCCTCCCTCTCCTAGCCATGCTACCTCTCTACCTTCCTCCCATGCCACTCCTGCAACTCACCTGTCCACCTGTGGCTGAGAGTGGGTGTGGCAATGGGTGTGGCCATGGGTGGTGGGCGTTGACTCTATATGGGCGTAGGTGTCGCAGTGCTCCGAGGAGGCTCCAGACGTCTCTGATCTCGGGAAACTGAATGGCCACGTCTGGAAGGACACACAAGTTTCAATATATATTATCAGTTAGAAAATGTTTGTGGCTTATCCCGTTTTTCTTTGATGTTAATAAATTTGTTTATATTTTTACATGGAATATTGACATATCTTTGTTGTTTATAGTGTTGGTGACAGTTGGGGCTAGTACATTACGCATCTCTAGCTCACAACTCATCCTGTGTGCGGTAGTTAATTGTGCACTCCATACTCATCCTGTGAGCGGTAGTTTATTGTGCACTCCATACTCATCCTGTGAGCGGTAGTTTATTGTGCACTCCATACTCGTCCTGTGAGCGGTAGTTTATTGTGCACGCCACACTCATCCTGTGAGCAATAGTTCATTGTGCACGCCACACTCATCCTGTGAGCGATAGTTCATTGTGCACGCCACACTCATCCTGTGAGTATTGGGTGCACAATAAATTGTACACTGTGCGTGGCGGAGTGTGACTGAGCACTGTGTGCGCGGTGGAGTGTGCTTGCCAGGTGGACACAGGAGGCGCCGAAGGGGTCACGAGTATAAATGTTTACAAGGTGGAAGAGAGCCCGGGAAAAATATTGTCGTAGTTATGTAAACATCGCTGTTTTTGGGAACTAATCTTTCTCGCAGGTAACTATTTTGGCCTAAGAGTCTCCTATTAATGTCGTCTGGCCATGGCTGGTTATAGTTCCGTTATATTTGGCCCCATGCGCTCTGATGAAAGAGGTATATCCAAGGGAATGGGATGGCTCATATTCATTGTTTGGCAAATGTGCATAACACAGCTTTTGACAGTTAATAATATCGGTAATATTATTACCTACTGTAATAGAAGCAAATGTTATTGGTATACAATAATGGTAGAACTATTGATAGTTTAGTAGTGCGGTTGCAGAATTGGCACGATGACAATGGGGGATTTTAACCACGAGACAATAGATTAGGTAAATCTAGCATCATAATTGGAATGAGAACAACTTCTTTATCTCATATAGGACTTTTCTTCTCATACAGTATGTGTCAGAACCCACCCGAGGTAACAACATTTTAAACTTTGTGATAACATCAGAAGAGGGCATAATTAATCAAATCTAGACAGGGAAGAAGCTCGCCCCCCCCCCCCTTCATGTAACCACTATATAATATGATGGAATACTACAGAAACCCATACAACTGCCAAGAACTAAAGCCGTTATAACGGCTGTCTAGAATCTAGACTACCTTCGAGTAAACTGCCATAAAATGAGAGAGGAACAATACCTCATGGTGGGAGTTAACAAGAGATCAAGACATGGAAGCATCACCATTTACTAAGATCACTACTGAAATTGTTCAAAAATACGTGATAAGAAAGAGAAGGAAACTAAAAAGAACTAAATGGATGACAGGGGCAGTAAAGAGAGCTATAACAAAACGCAACTTCTGGAACAAGTTTCAGTCCACCAGGAGGCGCAGATTGTGAGATATACAGTAAGGCATTAAACTCAAGCTACCCAGAAAATCAAATCGGTCAAAAGAAACTATGAAACAAAACTTGCTCAAAACATTAAGATATGAAATCTCTTTTTGCCAATATAAGAACCAAGACAAAAAACTCGGCAGGACAGCAAATTCTGGATGACACCAACTAAGGTATAATTGATGATGAAAGTCTCTGAGAAAGTCTAAAACGATGATTTACAGTCTCCGTGGTGTAGTGGTAAGACACTCGCCTGGCGTTCCGCGAGCGCTTTGTCATGGGTTCGTATCCTGGCCGGGGAGGATTTACTGGGCGCAATTCCTTAACTGTAGCCTCTGTTTAACTCAACAGTAAAATGTGTACTTGGTTGTAACAACGATTCTTCGCGGCGGGGATCGTATTCCAGGGACCTGCCCGAAACGCTACGCGTACTAGTGGCTCTACAAGAATGTAACAACTCTTGTATATATCTTTAAAAAAAAAAAAAAAGGGGGGGGCTGCCAATACTCTGAATGAGCACTTCACATCAGTGTTCACACAAGAACAGGAGTCGGTCGGCCGAGCGGACAGCACACTGGACTTGTGATCCTGTGGTCCCGGGTTCGATCCCGCGCCGGCGAGAAACAATGGGCAGTTTCTTTCACCCTATGCCCCTGTTACCTAGCAGTAAAATAGGTACCTGGGTGTTAGTCAGCTGTCACGGGCTGCTTCCTGGGGTGGAGGCCTGGTCGAGGACCGGGCCGCGGGGACACTAAAGCCCCGAAATCATCTCAAGATAACCTCAAGATAGTTCGCGTACCACCCGTGTGTGTGTGTACTCGTCTAGTTGTCTAGATGAGTATATCTCGTCACTTATCTCATCACTTGAAGTAGTATGCGATCTCATTGTCTTCAAGACCTTTCACGGCAGCGTCAAAATAATACGGTGCAAGCACAGATGTTACAATTGCTTTCGTCTTTGTTAGAGCACCAGTAAACTTCTTTGTCACCTTAGAATCGAGAAATTTTTCTTTTATGAACGATCCTTGGATAGAAAACTATTGTGATGTTTAAGAGTGTGAAATACGTAAGTAACTTCTACAGCAGTGACAGCGTCTTCTGTTTGACTTCCTCTTGTGACAAATAGTTTTTCAAGTGACGGTTGCTGAAATTTCGGACTTTGAGAATTTTTATAATTCTTTCCGGACGCAAATTTTTACACCAGAATACAAAAACATGTCTCTGAAAATAGGGACACAATGGCAACCCTATTCTGCCAACTTATGTATAACTTGGTGTGTGTGTGTGTGTGTGTGTGTGCATGAGTGTGTGTGTGTGCATGAGTGTGTGTGTGTGCATGAGTGTGTGTGTGTGCATGAGTGTGTGTGTGTGCACGAGTGTGTGTGTGTGCACGAGTGTGTGTGTGTGCACGAGTGTGTGTGTGTGCACGAGTGTGTGTGTGTGCATGAGTGTGTGTGCGTGCTGCTCCACCTTGTGAATACCCAGTGCACTCGGGGCGCCTTCCACTTTGTTTACTCAAGATATTGTCTCAAGGAAGACGAACGCCGAGCGTCGGTAAAAAGTCTTTCAAAATTGACTATGACAGTTGACAACCCCGGTTACATGTGAACCAAAAATAAAATAGCAGACTTGTGGAAGTTGAATTTTATCTCTTAACGTGACTGTAGGGCGCCCCTGTCTACTCTGTGCCCGTCTCTCTCCCACCTGTCTCCCTGGTGCCTCTCTCTCTCTCTCTCGCCTGTCTACCTGGTGCCCCCCTCTCTCTCACCTGTCTACCTGTCTACCTGGTGCCCCTCTCTCCCACTCTGGAACTCTCCAAACCCTCCAACTCTTCCACCAGTCTGGACCCTCCGTGTCACTCTCCCTTCCGGATGCCCTAATGGCACTCTGCCTCCCTTGTTCTCAGACCCCCCCATCAATGTGTCCCTCCCTGCCTAACCTAACCCCACCATGCCACTCTCACTCCCCTTCTGGTTCCCTCAGTGTCATATCTCACTCTCCCCGACCCTCCCGTAACCCCCCCCCCCTTCCCCCTCGTCCCGCTGGGAGTAAACACTTCATCCTTGGTAAAAAAAATTTTATTTATTTATATATACAAGAGTTCCTACATTCTTGTAAGGTCACTGGTACGCATAGCGTTTCGTGCATGTCTTTAATCCTAATTTTCCCCGGAATACGACCCGTCAAATCGTTTAATAACTAAGTACCCATTTACTACTGGGTGAACAGAGACCACAGGATACGAACCCAGGCCAAAGCGCGAGGGCTTTACCACTTCGCCAAGGGGGACTAACAGCTTCTTGCCGTTAGAGGGCCGTATCCTCCCTTCTTCCTTTATAGTCCAAGACGAACTCTGGCGCCACCCTAAATATTGAAACAAGGTGACGAGAGACACCTGCTCCCGGCCTCCCTCCCTCCTTCACACTCAAAATAAATACAGCTTCCGTGATTTGTTAGAGTCTGGGAGGGACGGATGGTGGCGGGGGTGGTGGAGCAACCTGCACCCACTATTCTTGGGGAATAAGATCAGGCGACTTGTGTTAGAAGGACACCAGGGAAGGAAGTGAAGGCTGGGAAGGAAGGCCGGGAAGGAAGGCCGGGAAGGAAGCGAAGGAAGGCATTAAAGGCACGTCTTCATTGAAGGGTGCTTAAAGAACGCAAAGAGAAGCTTTGCAAGCCCTTGTCTACCATATTTAATAAATCATTAGTGTCAGGCAGAGTGCCAGAGTCGTGGAAGGTTGCTAATGTGGTACCAATTTTTAAGAAAGGAGATAGATCACTTGCGTCAAACTATCGGTCAATTAGCTTAACGTCTATTGTGACAAAGTTACTCGACTCGATAATTGCAAATACCATTCGTCTTCATCTTGAAAAACAAATTAATAAATGATTCACGATATGGTTTTACAAATGGCCGTTCATGTTTAACACATTTGCTATCTTTTTATTCCAATATAGTCGAGGCAGTTGATAGTGGTAAGGTTCGTGATGTTGTGTACTTTGACTTTAGCAAAGCTTTTGATACAGTGCCACATGAAAGAATGATTAAAAAGTTAGAGGCTCGCGGTATTGAGGGGTGCTATATTAAGCTGGATTAGGGCATGGCTATACTAAAGGAAACAGAGTTAGTATAAATGGGGTTAAGTCAGAGTGGGAAAATGTTGTAAGTGGAGTGCCTCAAGGATCTGTCCTGGGACCTCTGTTATTCATCTATGTAAATAAAAATGTAAATGTTCGTTTGTTCAAAATCACTAATCTCCGAAAGTTCTTCACCGATTGCTTTGAAATTTTGACAAAGTTCCATTCGAATACGCGCGTGTTTTTATATACCTACTATATACATGCCGCACCTTTAACAGGTAAAAACATTTTTTTTTTTTTTTTAACACTTCTAACCAGTTGGACGAATTCTTGTTCTAAACCGACTTCCCCATTCTTAATCCTTTTGTACGAAACTACTTATAAGGTTCTTCAGATCCTTTGTTATCCATTTCGGGTCATTATTATTCGATCTATTCAATTTATATGGTATACTACGATCCTGTGCTTTGCTTAAAAATTTGTTTAAATAAGTTGTATTTTGAATCCACATTGAAATCCCTTTTTACGTCAAGTGTCGCTGGTTTTCACGTCTCGCTCCAAAACCGGCCCACTCTCTATGCCCAGGACTTTCCAATCTATTCACCCCAAAAAATTCTTAGGCCATTAAAATCAGCTTTTCGAAAATTTGGCACATTAACAGAATTTTCTCCTACAAATCTATTCCATTCTATGCTAAATCCGATTTCTTTGTGATCACTGTTCCCTGGCTCACTTCCTATTTCATTGTCACTAACTTGCGTTTCCCTGTTGGTTAACACTAAGTCTAAAATATTATTTTCTCGCGTTGGTTATTTAATGTGTTGCTTAAGGAAGCAATCGTCAATTAATTCAAGAAAATCTTCCGCTTCATTATTCCCTGTTCTGTAAATCCAGTTTATTTATCTAAAATTAATGTCACCCATATGACAAATACTGCTAGACTTGGATGCTCTAGATATTTCATCCCATAGATGCTTTGCTTCCATCCTGTCTAAGTTTGGTGGCCTGTATATAACTCCCATTGTAAGTTTATTTTTTTTTAGTTTAATTCTAGTCAAATAGCTTCTGGGTGTGGGTCAGTTTTGATTCCCCCTCTTTGAGACTACATTTCAAATTTTCCCTAACATATATAAGGCTATTCCCCCTCGTTTAATGTATGTATCTGTGTGAAATAGTTTAAGTCCATTTTTTTATATTCAGCCAATAGTTTTCTACAGTTATCCTCATTTCAGCAAGTGCAATAATATCTATTGTTTCTGTACAGACAAGAACATTTAAATGTATTTTGTTTCTTAGACTCGTACTGTTCGTGTAATATACCTGGTTATTGTTATTTTGAGGCCCTTCTCCTTTCCTATTAATTTTGCCAATTGTTTTTCCCCACCAACACATACTTTTATTGCCTCCTTTCTCCATATCAATTTCCATACCACTATCTACCAACAGTTTAAATCCAAACAAACGCCTCCAACCACAGGTTCTATCGAGTTGGCAACAGGAACAACCCCAGCCCTGGATAAATGCACCCCATCCCGAGCATACATGTCATTTCTTCCATAAAAGTGTTCCCAGTTATCAATGAATGATATTGCATTTTATTTTCAATGTGTCCATTGACACCAAGTGCCCTCGACAACCATTTATTTCCAACTCCCTTTCTTGGAAGAATACCACATATGATCGGGATTCCTCCCTTGCGCCTAACAAATTCTATGGCTGCCTTAAACCTATGTATCAGTGCCTCACTCCTAACTCGTCCTACATCATTTTCACCTGCACCGATTCAAATAATAGGCTTGTTCCCATTTCCAGCCATAATATCATTCGTGTTTACAATATCCTCAATTCCAGCTCCCCTCAACCTGGCACAAAAAGCTCTATCCAAAAACCTCACCTCGGAATCACCAACAACCAAAATTCAATTAGCTACTTCCTTTACCGGCGCTTCCTTGGTTGCCTCGTCTCTCGGGTGAACTGCAGCCTCCCAGCAGCACTCGTCTTCTCACAGTGACTGATTCCCAGTACCCCACTCACCCTACACCCTCCTAGTACCCACTCACCCTACACCCTCCCAGTACCCACACCCTTCACCCAGTACCCTCTCACCCTACACCCTCCCAGTACCTACTCACCCTACACCACTCCCAGTATCCCACTCACCCTACACCCAGTACCCTCTCACCCTACACACCCAGTACCCCTCACCCTACACACTCCCAGTATCCCACACACCCTACACCCAGTACCCTCTCACCCTACACCCTCCCAGTACCCTCTCACCCTACACCCTCCCACACCCTCTCACCCTACACCCTCCCACACCCTCTCACCCTACACCCTCCCACACCCTCTCACCCTACACCCTCCCACACCCTCTCACCCTACACCCTCCCACACCCTCTCACCCTACACACCCCCCTCCCTCACTAAGTGTTCCTGTCATTTCTGTTTATACTGGTGAAGAGCAACTATTTCAGTGGAGCGATCAGCGACGCCTCTCTCAAGCGCGCTTATAAAGTCGTTTTCTTTACTGGCGACAGGTAAATTTAAGACCTTGCCGCGTCCCGCTGGTTAGCACTATCATAACACTGACCTGTTCTAAATATACGCGGCCAGATGAAGAGAGTGTAGCTCATCTGTATTAGTTTTCCAAGTTTTTTAATAATTGTTCAATGGTCGTTTGATTGGTAGAGTGGCCGAGTGACATTTATCGCCGTTTGTTTGTTTAAGACAGAGAGGTGGTGGCTGTCACTGCATGCCACTTTCTCAGCCGACGACTCACAGCAGAGAAATATCACAGGTGTTCAAGATGCACTAAATAATCTAGTGCCTTAATGCTTGGACGGCTGGAAAAGACGCAGATCAAAATTATGAGGATTATCCTCGGCCCCCGTACAACTAAGTTACTAAAGATGAGGAAGGAACGGAACACCCCATGTGTAAGTGATCGTATCGCTGAAACTAATATCTTAATTGGCATCAAGCAGCTTAGACTGACCCACCCAAACCCCAGCCCCGAAACCCTTTATCTTGAGATGATTTCGGGGCTTTAGTTTATTATTATTAACATCTTTATTGACAAAATTAATTACAATTTTGCCTAATCTGAGGATTTTGATAGTCTTATTAAATTGAGGTTAATGCTAGTATTCACTGTCACGCAGGACAGAGGGTCATACATAAGACAATAGGTCTAAACTGTAGGCTGAAGCACTTTAGTGTCCCCGCCCGGTCCTCGACCAGGCCTCCACCCCCAGGAAGCAGCCCGTGACAGCTGACTAACACCCAGGTACCTATTTTACTGCTAGGTAACAGGGGCATAGGGTGAAAGAAACTTTGCCCATCGTTTCTCGCCGGCGCCTGGGATCGAACCCAGGATCACAAGTGCAGTGTGCTGTCCGCTCGGCCGACCGGCTCCCTTGAAGGAATTATTGCTTCACTAGACGTCGAATCCCTATTTACCAACGTCCCGCTCGACACGACCATAGACATGATCCTGGACAGTATACGGAGATGACACCGCCCACAAATCAGACATTCCCGAGCCACACTTGAAAAACCTTCTCTAGGCATGTACAAAGGAAGCTCCTTTCATCAATCCACAAGGGAACACGTATCTACAGATTGACGGAGTAGCAATGGGCTCCTGCATAAAGCGACACCGTCGCTTGGGAATCATTCAATCTACTACACATATATATTTGTAGTAGTCTTTTAGTGTGTTATTGAATATGACAGGAAAGGCGAGACCAGTGATTCTAGCACGAATCTATTTTCTAATGTCAATCTTTACTTGAGAAAGAAGTCGAATAATTAACTCTTCAAAGTTCACTTTTAAAATTTTATTTGGCCTTACCTCCTTACCTTGAGGTTACCTTGAGGTGTTTTCGGGGCTTAGCGTCCCCGCGGCCCGGTCGTCGACCAAGCCAATTACCTCTAAGAGATATGTTTCGTTGATAATGTAAACATGTTCAAGGGAAGAGTACAAGTGAATACAATTTGGCTGCATCAACCGAATATAACTTTAAGAGTGAAGTAGAACATGTAGTGGACCCAGGAGTAATGGCTAGTCATTATGGGCTAGAGTGAAGCAGAGTGTTCAGTGTGTTATCACATGATCATCTCCAGCAGTTGCATTAAACACAGGTACTGATACACAAGGAGATCTCACTAGCATGATATGTATCAACGAGAAACTCAACTTGAGCAATCAGGTGACTGGATCTAGTGATCAAGGTACTCGGCTGGAGTGCCTTGATCGCTGGTTCCAGTCACCTCATTGCTCAAGTTGATTTTCTCACTGGTACTGATCTTGTCCCCTTGGAAGGCTGAGACAACGTGCTGCTCTATTAAGGTCAAGAACAACATTATTAAATGTTGAAACTAGTCTACAGTCTGACCGGAGTACAGGAGAGTCAAGTAGAATAATAATTATAGTTATGCAGGTGAACACCACAATAATCATGGTAGGCTGCCCTAGCACACCCCAGGCCACTCCCAACCTAAGTATACCGAATATCTAAAGCTTTTTTTTTTTTTTTTTTTTTTAGATATATACAAGAGTTGTTACATTCTTGTACAGCCACTAGTACGCGTAGCGTTTCGGGCAAGTCCTTAATCCTATGGTCCCTGGAATACGATCCCCTGCCGCGAAGAATCGTTTTTTCATCCAAGTAAACATTTTACTGTTGCGTTAAACAGAGGCTACAGTTAAGGAATTGCGCCCAGTAAATCCTCCCCGGCCAGGATACGAACCCATGACATAGCGCTCGCGGAACGCCAGGCGAGTGTCTTACCACTACACCACGGACACTGCTTTTATATTATAAATAATTATAACATATGTTGTTGATGGAATAGAAGGAAAACTTTTAGTTGCCGACTTTCACTCCGATTGCAATATAACCGGAACACTTCCCCACATTGGAATATGCATTAGTGCTTGTGTTAAATAGTTGAAGAGGTCAAAAATCCTAAGGAATGTAAACATAGCCCACAGTGGGAATCATCTTCAAAACGTGACATTGTAAGGTTACACATTTAAACATGGAACACAGCAAGTGTAAAGACCTACCAGTGATAGAGGATGGGTCTGTGTCCTGACCTCTCCTTCCTCCTGCAGGATAGCTCTCAGGTGACCAATATAGGAGGTCGCGAGCCGTAGAGTGTCCAGCTTGGAGAGCTTCGTGTCTGCCGGAACCCAGGGCAGTGTGGTCTTGAGACGCGAGAATGCTCTGCGGGGGACAACACAGGTTGACGGATCACTAATATATCACATTGATAAACATTAATCAATGGTAAAGATTACCGTTATATTGGTAGTAACCCAAACTGGTAGTAACGTGGGAGCTAATGTACCATTGTCTGATAGTAACGTGGGAGCTAATGTACCATTGTCTGGTAGTAACGTGGGAGCTAATGTACCATTGCCTGATAGTAACGTGGGAGCTAATGTACCATTGTCAGGTAGTAACGTGGGAGCTAATATAACAACACAGTAGTAACGTCAGAACTATTAAGTCTTAGTCCGGAAGTAACGTGAGCTATCAGAGCACAGCAGTAACGTGGAAGCTAATGAGTCGCATTCCCGTAGTAACATGGGAGCTAATGAAACATAGTACAGCAGTACCGTGAGAGAATATCACAGCAGTACCGTGAGAGACAATATCACAGCAGTACCGTGAGAGACAATACCACAGCAGTACCGTGAGAGACAATACCACAGCAGTACCGTGAGAGACAATACCACAGCAGTACCGTGAGAGACAATACCACAGCAGTACCGTGAGAGACAATACCACAGCAGTACCGTGAGAGACAATACCACAGCAGTACCGTGAGAGACAATACCACAGCAGTACCGTGAGAGACAATACCACAGCAGTACCGTGAGAGACAATACCACAGCAGTACCGTGAGAGACAATACCACAGCAGTACCGTGAGAGACAATACCACAGCAGTACCGTGAGAGACAATACCACAGCAGTACCGTGAGAGACAATACCACAGCAGTACCGTGAGAGACAATACCACAGCAGTACCGTGAGAGACAATACCACAGCAGTACCGTGAGAGACAATACCACAGCAGTACCGTGAGAGACAATACCACAGCAGTACCGTGAGAGACAATACCACAGCAGTACCGTGAGAGACAATACCACAGCAGTACCGTGAGAGACAATACCACAGCAGTACCGTGAGACAATACCACAGCAGTACCGTGAGACAATACCACAGCAGTACCGTGAGACAATACCACAGCAGTACCGTGAGACAATACCACAGCAGTGCCGTGAGAGACAATACCACAGCAGTACCGTGAGAGACAATACCACAGCAGTACCGTGAGAGACAATACCACAGCAGTACCGTGAGAGACAATACCACAGCAGTACCGTGAGAGACAATACCACAGCAGTACCGTGAGAGACAATACCACAGCAGTACCGTGAGAGACAATATCACAGCAGTGCCGTGAGACAATACCACAGCAGTACCGTGAGAGACAATACCACAGCAGTACCGTGAGAGACAATACCACAGCAGTGCCGTGAGAGACAATGAGTCATAGTCCCGTACTAACATGGGAGTACACAGTCTTATGCAGCCATCCTCTACTAATGACAGTACCTATAGTTACAAATGATGGGAAACAACATACGGAAGATTGTACACAAAAATGGTTGATGTTTGCACTTATAACTGACATTACAAGACCATTCCATCCACCAATATGATTAATACTTAGGACAAATGTCTGCTCTAACATACAAAAGTGGACTGTTTGTTCCCAAAAATTTACAAATTTCATGCTAAAAATGGCAGAGTAACAAAAGAATCTAACGTAACGTATCCAAGACTTAAATAAGCAATTTTAGGACTGCTATAGCCTATTTTATGCCTAATTTATTACATGCGTGTTATCCTAGGCCTAAGAAGTTTAAGTTTGGTGTTTTTTTTCCGTGCTCTCTACAAAATTAATAGTACATAACTGGAATAAACAATGAAGTCACAATAACGTGATAAGTCTGAGAAAATGTTTAGGGCAGGAAAACGGAGCCCGCGTCCCTACTGATGTGTTCCCTGTGTCGGGGTCCACTCAGCCACTTTATACATACAGTACATGTTAGGCTTATATCCAGATTCCCTCCCCCCCTCCCTGTCGAATTACTGACCCTTCCCAGGATGCAACTCTACAACATGACTAACTCCTAGGTACCTATTTACTGCTAGGTGGACAGGGGCATTAGGTGATAAGCAGTGCACCCAACCAATCCTGGAATTCGACATCTGAGTCTTGGCTGTCCAGCCTGGGATTCGAACCCGGAAGTCTTGATTGTGAGAGGAGAACGAACCCGACTACAGTCGGGTTCTTGGAACTGGGACCTTGCTAAAGGTTACACAACCTCAAGTCTGTTCAGAGCCACTAGGAGTCTGGAAGCACTCAAGCTGATAGCCAATTCAAGTTTTATATGTAACTTGCCACCTTGTGCTCTTTCATTACTACATTACACAGCCTAAGTCCACAAATTGCAATCCTGATCCTTCTTATAAAGTATTCCCTAATAACCCACCTCGTCCTTGTGATCAACACCTTCAGCTGTCCGACCCGCCTATCCTCTTCCTAATATATATACACGTCTTCTCCTGCAGAATAAGCAGTCGTGTTCAACAAACAGATGTAAGCAGGTGTCATCGTAAGTAATGATGTTAAAAAAAAATCAGACGTCTTATGGTGCTGAAGAATTAATGATGTTCAATAAAAAGGCTGTCTCATAGAACAAAGGCAGTAAATATGTTAAAGAAAGATATATAGAATCAGTGGATTAGGACTAACTACGGTGATGGCTACATATGCCTTTAATAAAGTGGTCGTGGTGTTGTGATTGGTTTAGGAATCAAGGACTATGTATGTGATTGAGAATTTTAAGTGAAAAGAACATAGGATAGTGTTTTGTGCAAGCGTTTTTGCCCTCGTGAAATAATTTTTTTCAAGTGAGGTTATGGTAATGAAATAGTCAAGTTCAGCAAGTGTTTGAGAAAGTGTGAAAGAGTGTGCAAAATTGTGTTTGCGAGTGTGATTTGTGTAAGAGATTGAGAATTGAGCAAGTTTGTGTTTGGTCGTGTTTGAGTGTGAATTGTGTGAAGTTTGTGTCTGAGAAAGTGTGATTTATGCAAGAGATCGAGAAAAAATGTAAGGGTGAGAATGTAAGGATGAGAGTGTGTGTGTGTAAGGGTGATAATGTTTGTATTATTTAGTTTGATTCTCTAGTAATCGTATCGAATGGTAGATAAAAATATGGGGATTGTAGCAGAATAGGCTTACGACGCTAAGCGTCTATGATTTTAAACCGATTCAATTTCTAAACTCGATAAGATACGATGGGGATGAAGTCAGGAAGAAGAGCCTCTCTCATGTTGCTACGTGAGAGGCTCCTCTTGTCATTCATTACTGTGGATATAACATCTCACCCGTCCACCAGACTCCCTTAACCGCACCTTGCATTGATCCATTTGTTTTTTTTTTGTCTGATAAGCGTAACGCGCGTTGTAATGCTTCTCGTTGACGTTCCTTAGAGTCTGACAGTTATTTTTAATAATCTTAAACTGCTCATTTATGTTAAAATGGTTAGCTTATGTTGCAAACTGTCCTCTTACAAAGAATGTAGCTTTTCGCTCGTATGCGTTACATTAGGCCAAAAATTGTACTAGAAAATGGAAGCGGTTCGCGAAAGTTACGTACTGTCCCGTTTTCTGTCTCCAGAAAACGGGTTGGGGTCTCCACCAACACGCCGGCAGGGGTCTCCACACAGGAATACAACAAGCCTAAACACACGGATCGTACTTCCGTCTCGTAACTCAATTTGGCCTATCCTGGGAACGTCGGTCCAATCACTAATACTTCGCAAGTATAACAGACGCGGCTACTTGTTACCGCGAGAACACGTCCAGTTCTGGACTGCCCTGGGTGAACTGATGCCTGCTGACCACAATACAACCCACATCACTTCTGAGAACTGAAAACGTTATTAGTAAGACAGAAACTACACCGACATCAAATACGATCACAACCTTCCACTGGGAACAGAAAATGAGGATCAGCGTGGGTAGGGTGGCCTGCTCAACAGATGGCGTCGATATCGGCACACTAATGCTATGTTGCAATGCAAGTCTACGGAGTGCAAAACCATAATGGCATATGTATGTATAATTACCATTGTACGAAACACTTTAGAATTCCCCTTGAAATTTCCATTTTAACTTCGTTCACCACATATTCTTACCCTATTATTTCATGCTGCAACATGTTGCAAATTCCAGTTTTCTATGCATGTAATTTCATGCAACATTCTTGCCAACTTGTGACATTGTATGCCGATGGAGGGACCCTCGTAGTCCACATTGACTCTTCTGGTGACGTCATGTCAACATAGGAGAGTGTGTTAACGCACTTGTACTGAGCCTATTATGGCAACGAATAAGTACAAACGCACCTTGATAGGATCCTCATGCGGGCTCTCTCCCTGGCATTGGCAGCATTGCGTTGGACTGGCTTCTCACGCACTCGTCCGCCCTCCACGCACTCTTTTTTTCTGCGTGGCATCCTGAGTGATAGATAGGCACAGTTAGGCTAAGACAATGGGCGTCGTTAGTGACACAGTCTGTCTGGGTTTAATAATGAATGATGTAGTTTGTGTTAAAGAACATACAGTTTCCATAGTTTGGGCTCAAATTATATTACACTTTAACGAAACATTGAAACTTTGAACAAGTCTACGGACAAAAAAGTTTCAGATTTGGTTAATGAAAATCGAATTGGTAGTCGGGTTAGAGGGCAGTATTTCTTAAAGTGTGGCAGTGGAGCAGACCTCTACTGGCCTATGACATTCCCCTACCCCGTGTGCTTCATGTGTAAAAGCTGGCTGAGGCTAACTTAGCTTAGAGCTCATTGGTCGTCGGACTAGCAGAGTGTAGACCTTAGTAGTTAGTGGTACTAACTACTTGACGACTAATGTAGGAAGACGAGGACACGCCCAACATTACACAGAGGACGAGGACACGACCTACATTACACAGAGGACGAGGACACGCCCAACATTACACAGAGGACGAGGACACGACCAACATTACACAGAGGACGAGGACACGACCAACATTACACAGAGGACGAGGACACGACCAACATTACACAGAGGACGAGGACACGACCAACATTACACAGAGGACGAGGACACGACCAACATTACACAGAGGACGAGGACACGCCCAACATTACACAGAGGACGAGGACACGCCCTACATTACACAGAGGACGAGGACACGCCCTACATTACACAGAGGACGAGGACACGCCCTACATTACACAGAGGACGAGGACACGCCCTACATTACACAGAGGACGAGGACACGCCCTACATTACACAGAGGACGAGGACACGCCCTACATTACACATAGGACGAGGACACGACCAACATTACACAGAGGACACACATGCAGGTGACCTGCATGTGTTATACTGTACGACGTTTCTGGGTGTACACACACTGAGGTGTACCACACTTCTGGGTGTACACAGACTGAGAGGTGTACCAGGCTTCTGGGTGTACACACACTGAGGTGTACCACACTTCTGGGTGTACACAGACTGAGAGGTGTACCAGGCTTCTGGGTGTACACACACTGAGGTGTACCACACTTCTGGGTGTACACAGACTGAGAGGTGTACCAGGCTTCTGGGTATACACACACTGAGAGGTGTACCAGGCTTTTGGGTGTACACAGACTGAGAGGTGTACCAGGCTTCTGGGTGTACACACACTGAGAGGTGTACCAGGCTTCTGGGTGTACACACACTGAGAGGTGTACCAGGCTTCTGGGTGTACACACACTGAGAGGTGTACCAGGCTTCTGAGTGTACACACACTGAGAGGTGTACCTCGCTTCTGAGTGTACACACACTGAGATTGCTCAGCACATCAACCCATCTTCTCGGACAGTACATCGCATTTTGACGTATAAATTCATTAAGGGCAAAAAACAAATGTACTAAGAATCATAGTGGGTCGAAAAAATGACGTAATATTCCGTTTTCTATGTGTGTATTTTCGGTTAGGTTAAGTACGGGCAATTTAGTAACATGATAATTATAATTTTAGTTACAGTATGAACGCCTGAGAAGACAGGCTGCGGAGCCTTGAGCCCAACACTAAGGCAGTCAATGATATATCTTTACAACATGAGTGAACAATTTAAAACATGATTATCTGTGAGTTAAAATACTAGTATTTATTGCAAACAAATAAATACTTGATACAAATTAGTGAGAAACTCACCAATAACAGCAAATAAATTGAAAGCTGTATAGAGCAGCCTAAATAAACTAGAACTTTGCAATTTGTTTAATTATATGTTATTTCTTTTATTAAATAAATATATTACAATCACAATTTCATTACGAATCGTACAGTTATTTATAAATAACTAAACCATAAAACAAAATTATAACAAATTTAATATTTACATTCTGCAAACAATTTCATTAACATATAACTTACCTTTGTTGTGAAGGGGTTGGGCCCGTAGTGGTCAGTTCATCCTCCCAGAGGTCGGCTCCAAGGGAATATGTTTAACCTCTTGTTCAGTATCCCTATGAGGTGCTTCCGGGGCTTAGCGTCCCCGCGGCCCGGTCGTCGACCAGGCCTCCTGAAGGTATCCCTTCAAATAAATCCCCGTTCCAATTATCGAATAATAATTAATTGATCACAAAGATATATAAGCAGTAAATTATCTTGCAGTGTATACAGTTTGCAATGTTTCCTGATGACATTATAAAGCTTCTAGTAATTCTTAGAGTTTGATGTGCCATTGATATCTAGTAAAGTCGCATTTCTATGGTGCTGTTTCTCAGAGGAAAACACTAAATGGTATTATATTTTCCGGAAGTTGTATATGGCCTTAAAAGTCAAAACCTATTGTAGATAACGATGCTTCGGATATAGAGAATGATTGCCTCGTTTTGGTGCTTGTTACGGAAGGTGTGAAGGCGGCCACTACCCTGGGTGAACTAGGGTCAGCTTACAACTCAATAATGGGTGAGGCCGGGCACGGGGGCGTGTGTCGTGCCAAACTTGACAAATTGAGCGCCTTACACTTCCCGGGCAAGAATGGTACATCTTCACTGCTATGGAGAGTGTTCCTTGTACTTCAGTGCAATCAGTATAAACTATTCGAGACAGGTAAAAGCTTTAACGAACATAAACTTATAAAACGATACCTTATTTGGTGACAGTTCTTGTACACAATCACAAAAAAATATTACAATGGTGATAAATCTTTAGGGAAAATATGTGGGCGGGGTTTGGGAGGAGCCAAAACTCTCGACCAATCGCGTGCCGTTCTTCACGTCGTCGACAAACAGACACGAGTCCCATCATAACCCGGCGACCAATGAGGAAGGAGCAGGAGTTTTACGGGCATGAGAGGTGCTAATTAAGCCTGA